GACGTGGGCCCGTTGTGAAGCTGTATTGGGGGATTGTCAGGCGTTACTGCGTGATATTGTTGTGTTTCGACCGATGGCCTGAGTTGGGTGTCATGAGTATGTTGCTTCCTGAATAGTTTTATTCAAGACCACATGACGTTGAGGTGGAAAATATTGTTCACACACCCACTGGCCGTTGGTTTATTTACTGATGTGCTTTCTGACAACATTCCAGGAGTGCTCCTGATTCTTAGCTGGAAAGCTTGCTTCCTTTCCACGCCGTCAGGCCATTCCTGCACTTTCTTCAACTTTTCTGCTTTCCCTAGTCCAATTATTGTAAGGTTGCTCTTGTGTTTCCGTTGCTTTCTGACAACATCGGAGGAGTGACATTGGTTCTTTCCTGGAAGCTTATTTCTTAGTAAGGCCGTTGTGCATTTTCTTTAGTTTCGCTTATAAGCTAACACTCTGGTCGGCAACACTTGTTACATTTCATTGTTCTTGAAATGGTTTAATACCTTGGGAGTAAATGCTTCCAGGCGTTGCCGTTTTTTGCCACTTGCAGTTTACAATGCGTTTTCGATCGTAAGCCTTAGGGACATTTTAAAAATCTTAGTTTGATGTGGTCGATGTCGGTTATGTGAGATGCCAATGGCGCATGTTTGTAAATCCTTTAGAGGCATAGACATGCGAAAATTCTTGCGAAATTCAACATTTGTATTTATGGTTGGCTTAGCATCAAAGGTAAGGTGCATGTACGGGGCTGCCGATCGAGTCATGTCCTCATTCACAGATTACTACTGGCACTTTTGTAGGTTTAAGTGCTGTTTTGTGAAGAAATGTTCCTCTTTTTGTTTTGCGACATCGAATTTGGCTTTTCGGAATGCCAAGCTGGTTGATTTATCAAAATCATTGAATTTATATTTCTGGCGTTTTTAGCATATTTGGTCTCTTAAAAAAAACCCTGTCACTACTGATTGTCCAGTGCAATAGGTGTAATTGGGAGCTTAGATTTCAATGTTTTGTAAAGTTTATGTATTTTGTTTTTAAGTGCTGGAGAACACCAAAAGCGTGCAGTTAGCACATTCGCTTGATGTAGCTGCATATTCATTAGTTATCATTTGTTGGCGATGAACCATTTTACGAAGCACTAAGGCATGCCTATGTTTATTTAGTAATAAATCTTCGCACAACTCGTTTTGTCAAATTGCTGAACCTTTGTATATCTTTTTTTTTAAATTAAGGTGAGCCTTTAGTAATGTGGGTGATTTTCATTTGTCCTAACTTCTGGTTTTCTGATTCATTCAGTCTAAGGAAAGAGATTGGCTGACCTTTTGGCGCATTGCTTGACAAACCGTAGGACGTCTACCAAGCCAATGGGTATGCTACTTTGTCAAATATGGCGCTGCCCTATTCCTGCATTAAACTCTTCGTTTTTAATCGCTAAATTTGTCGTGAAAATTTTTTGAGTCTTCCGTCCGACATGGGACACTATTTTTCGGATAACCAGTTTCATATCCATCCTGACGGTGCACCTACTTTACCCCTTAATCCTATGCGTAAAGGGTTTTGGAAGTACATTTGCTCCTCCGCACAACAAATTAACTTAATTTACCTCGGCATATCTGTTTGTCTTGCTGCGATATCCTTCGCCCTGTTACTAACTATTTTCTTTGGCCAACCACAGGTACGGTATTTTACTTTTTTGACATATAGGTTACTCCTCGAGGCTTTTTCATATCGAACTCTGGATTTTGTTCCGACTCCGGAAAACGAATAATGACTGACCGTGGTGGTAATGCGGCAGATGCTCTTATTGCAATTGTCCTCTGTCTTTCTGTTACCCGACCTGATGCTGTTGGTGAGTTCTTTTGAGTGGTCTAATTTCCTGTCCACTCGCTGTTTACTCAGGTTCTCCTTCCAATTATTCTTTTGTTTCCGCCTCACTATAAAAGTAACATGAAGTTGTTTTCTTCAGTAATGCTTGCTGTATCTGTGGATCAAATAATAGTTTTACAGGTCATTTTGTTCGATTGTAAAGTCGTTAGTGTATAACTCCAGTTAAGCTGTCGATGTCATACCAATGTAGTCACTAGACTAGCATTTCCTAGTCGTCATTAATGCTTCCAAAATTATGGACGAAGTATAAGCACAATCTTAAGTTTAAGACAAACCAAGCATGGACCATTCTTAATTTTCAATAAAGTGTGACGTTATTTAACCTAGATAGACTTGCCATTTGGACACGATTTACACCTGTATCATTTTCTACCAATATCCGGCAACGTAGTCATTTGGGCTTCCTCTTTTGAAAATTGATCATATAATTGGACAGCAGTTTTACTGACTGGATTTAGGTGATCATGACCTTTTTGGTTGATTTTTTTAGAAATGTTTTAGCATAATTGTTACTTCTTGCCAGTAACTAAAACAAGGCCCTGAAAACTAGTTTGAAAATTTCTTTTCTAACGCAAGTGCTACCTTCCTACTGTCTGAACAAAGACAAAACCCCGTGCAGTGAGCTTTTACGGTTTTACCCAAAGGTCAAGTGATTTGTCAGGATGCGGACGCCTTAATGGCTTTAGACTACTTTTACTCAATAAATAGTGTCTTCAAGAATGCCGGAGTTTCCAAGATCTCCCTGTTAGAATTAATAGTCAATCTGCAGTTGTCAGTTTTTTTCAACTAGCTCATCTTGGAAATATCGGCCGGAGCAATTTCCTTAGGTCTGTGCCTAACTTTTCTGTCGAGGATTAGGTATCTTCAAGCCCTACACCTGGTGGAGCTGATTATAATACCTTGACCCCGTGTCGTGACCCACCGTTACGTCGAACTTAACCGTCTTGTGTCGGGGCAGGATCGTTCCACCGATCCGTAATAAACATTTTTGTCGGTAATCCCAAGCATACACGTAAGTCTCCACCTCAAATGGAGCACCAGATCCCACCCTTGCAGGCACAATATAATGCTACGTGTTATGTCGACACAAACCTCTGTAAGATGTCGACTGATTTCGTTCCTCCCCTCGAGATTTCAGCTAATTTCGCTTTAAGGTGTTGATGTAACGTTCAGCTTGCTCATTTGAATGTAGGTAGGGTACGAAATGAATGTTTTTGATGGTGTGTTGCTCGTTCGAACCAATCCACCAGGAGCCATTGACGGTTGTGCCGCGGAGAAACAGTACATTATTTCGCAACGGATTTTAACCTCTCCATCAAAGGTAGTGATAGCAGTTTTCAATTACCCAAGTAATCGCTATTTCGTCTCTAGAATGATAATTATGTTTGTGGACCGCGTCTGACTGTAGACAAAATGGACAGCCATTGGTTAGCATATTGAAGTAATAGCCTCCCTTGTAACCCACGGTCCTGTGTGTTGCTTGTGTGGGCAGAACTTGACAAAATACCAGACCCTTACAATGCCAATTCGCCAAAGGAAGGGTATCCTTTGATTTTCATGGTTGATTTATGGTAGTGCATCTATAGAAAGGTGAGCGTGCCAGAATTGGCAGAATCTGAAAGTGAGTTTTGGCTACTGTGCCACCACTGCGGCCCCCATCTCAGGCCAAATAGAAGTCATGCTGTGGGTTTATCCTGTGTTTGTACTTGATGTCGACTCAAGTAAGCGTCTCTGGGGGCTTCAGATACGAATAATGCCTTAAATTAGGTCATCGGTGAATGATCTTTCGTATTCCCAACTGACAACTGTCAGATGGTTAAAGGAGTAGTTGTACTCCTTCACTACCAGTTTTAGAGGACTGTTCCCCAAATGCCTGAGTATTTGGCCCCCTCAAAGTTGCAGCCCCGTGTAATTTGAGGAGGGATGAGGTTGCTACACCGAGCAGGTCTACAAAGCATGAGACGGATCATTCTTGAATCATCCTGGGACGCTAGATAGTTTCAGAGCAGGTTTTTATGTGGTCAACAGACATGTGGTTACAAAGAATGATGGTTTTATGTTACCTTTGCGTTTCTTAAATACTACGGGATCTGGGAACCCTTGTTCTCTTATTGTAAAATTTTTCAATCTTGAAATATCGTCTATTACTTCCGTTGGCCTTCTCACATAATCTGCTCCCAACCGAATGCCTTCATTCTATTTTGGCGGTTTTTCCCCTAAAAAGTTTATTTTACTTATACTGATATATCATTGATATCGTTTGGACATGTGTTAATTTAGGTCATTACTAGTCCCTGATATTCGTTGTAACTTTTATTGTTGTACCAGGCCTCGGTGGTTGTGGCGCATTCTTAGTCCATGTCCGCGACGCTAACAAGAATGATCTATTCGACGCAATGTGTTCCTCACCTAGCGCCTTCGATGTAACCAGCCAGAACGCGGCCTACAGTGTTGGTGTGCCTGGGTTACTAGCTGGGCTTAAGTCGGTGCACGATGCATATGGTTACCTCTCGTGGTCTGACCTCTTTCAACCAGCCATCGATAGCGCTGAACATGGTTTTATGGTAAGTCGTCTACCCAGTTAACTGCGACCCCACTTTGGGAAGCATTTAACACCTTTTACCACAGTTTGTCTACCTTGAGTAGTGTCCGTTTTATGCATGGTCATAACTTTCACAAGTCATCTTCATGACTGACCATTGCATTTCGCAGTCAGATGCGTATATTAATCGGTATGATTACCATTTCTTTTCATAGATTATGGTAATTTAAGCCTATCTGCTAGAACGTTTGAGGGTGATTTCTCTCAATCGATTTTGTACGTGTCAATTTAAAGCATTATGCGCATTTTCATGTTGAACGAAGCCTTGTCCTTTCAACAAATTAAGTCCAGAATATTCCTATATGTTGATGTGTACCGTTTTAGTGTTTAAGGCAAGCAGTTTTTTCCTTAAATACTTTCCAGGGATCAGCATCTGTCGAAGTAGGTTTATCGATAAATGGGTGTTTAACACAGTTGCTATGGGATGGCAATTCGCATTCTCGGATTACACCAAAACTAGCTCCTGGCTTTCTTGCGCAAACTGTTACCTTGTTTGTCTGCTTTCAATCACCTCAAACTGGCTATTTAATCTGTCTTCGTTGTCAAGCTAGACACTTGTGTTGTGTTGATTGCGACGTGTAGTGTTAGTGTTCCCATATTTACTTGTTTGTTGTATTTTTACACCAATCTGGCTGCCTGTTAAAGTTCTAATTAAAGTTTCATTCATCTTAAATGGGTTATTCAAGCCGCCTTCGTTGTCACATCAGACGCTTCTGCTGTGTTAAATGCTACGTACAGTGTTGAAATTTTGAATGCGTACAGATGTAAGTATCTGACCTCATTTAACTGATTATGCTTTCTGGTTTGTTGCGACTTTTAAGTTCCAGCTCTCCTAAACGCTCTTGAAGGCTGAATTCATTGACTTTGGGAACGCTTCTTCGGTGTAATGTTAATTGGCTTACGTATTAGTGTCCTCTTTCGCTATTGTGTTTGACGATCTGGTTTCGCGTACACTTTGGGTACTCTAAACCAGCTACTGCATGGTTTGATGATGGAAAAACGCGTGTTTTGGACCGGCTTGACAGCGCGTAAAGTAGCATTCCCTTTGCGTCCTCCAGGTGCACCCAGACTTGATGAGGATTGTGCAAAAAGTCGTTAACTCGACCCCAACCAGCCACATCGCTCACGACATTGAGCAGAATGTAAAGAACGGCCTTTATCCTCCCCAACCTAGTCTTGCAGCTACGTTGCGCAAACTTGCCACCGAGGGCGTCCAGCCATTTTACAATGGATCGATCGGCCAAGGTATTGTGGACGAAATGCAGAAACTTGGCGTTACGTGGGTACTCGAAGGCGATCTCAGTACCTATCAAGTGCACAAACCCAATCACACAGAGGTTGGTTGTTAGCTCTCTCTATATCAATTTTTGCCCCTTAATCCATGCATCATCTCCTCGCTTAATGCGGTGTGTGTGTGTGCTTGATAACATTCCTCTTCTTCATAAACCTGAATACGCGATCAGTGAGTAGGCGAGCACCTGTCAGTACTGTCGTCATTTGCGATGCTGTTACACTGACCTCAGTGAACAGTCTCGCCTCAGGCATTATCAAATTTTAGTTCATGATTTTTACGTCCCATATTGCTAGAGTCAACTGTATTTTGTCTTTTAAGCCAAGTCTTTGCTGCCCTTTTGGTGCATCAGATTGAATAAAGTAAAATATTTTCATACGCCTTCGCACAAAAACCCAATACGAAATCGGGAAATATTGCACTTTCACAACTGCGTCACACGGTGGACATTTCACTGGTGCTAGTCGTGTTCTGCTCGTTTATTGATTTTGGGAAATTGCGGTTTCTTTTTACATGGTTACAAGAAGCACAATCTGTGTTGGCCATTGGCTTCTGAAGTAGTTGCAGTGTGTGTAGGAGGCCCTTATAGGACGTGAGGCAAAACGGTGGTTGTTGAATTGGTATTTAGTTTGCTTTGATGTTATATATTACTCTGCAGATTATCACTTCGGCTAATCTTGTTTTTTACTCATCTACGACATCCGTGAACTGTTGGTCCTTCCACGCGTTCAGCAACAGCAGAAGCAGTGATGGACATAATCCAGTATACTTCAGAAGCATCAAAGTCTTGTTTATCACAATACCTAGCCATTCTTTTCGTCTTTTTAATTATTTGGAGTTATTTTGAAAGTTGGTTACCTCAATATCGGGTTTGAGACTTGTGTAGTAACTCGATACATGAACTGTGCACTCCTAACATTCATTACTAAGAATTGGCACTTTCAGGCCGAATTATTTCGGGTAGTTAAAGTAACTCTTCTGCTCCCTGACAAAACAACACACATTGGTTCAAGGCCTTTCGCTTTTTCTTGAACGCAGCTCGATTCAGCCGGGTTCACTATCCACGGCTTCACCTCGCCGTTCGTCGGTGGACTCCTAGCGGCCAATGTCCTGTCGAATTTGGACATGCTAAACCACCTGAGACCCCTTAGGTCTCGCAAACTTGCTCTCGGTGAACCAAAGGAAGTCGCCCAGCTCTACCACAGGCTAATTGAGTTGACCAAATTGAGTCTTGTTCATGTGTCTGGTCTCGGCGACCCCTACGATCCTAACTCAGGTACGGCCAATGTGTCCTTACATTACATCGTTGAGCTGATACATCTTCCTGACCTCTGTTTTCTTCCATTCTACGGGGAAGTATATGGCATGTAATAACTCCTTTTCTTCAAAATAATCGATATTTTAGTGTCACATGATCCTTTACCTACTTTGCTCCTAGGATTATTATTCTTTACGTGAGATTTTTTAGCTCAAAGAAAGCAAATTGAGAAGAACCAGTCACATTTGTCCACTTAATATCAACTGTTCTGCGCAGGTATTTAGCCCATGCCTATTAATGTGGTTTTGTAGTCATACCCGATTTCGCTGATCTTGCAACTTTTCCGTTCCTGCGATTGTGGCTTTCGGATGTTGAATATTGACTGTGCGAAATTCACCTCATGTATCAAATTTGGGTCTGAACTAGTCTCTGGCCTATGAATTGTAGGCATCAGCTTCAACAAATGACTTCAAAGGCAGGATTTTACTTTCGGGTACATTTTCTGGCTTCCAGCATCTACACCAATAATCAATTCGTGAAGTTCACGATTCAAACTTCCTACCCAAGAGAGAACGCACTTGATCACTAAAATAAAAGAGGCAGTAGGTACCAATCAGCCACGACCAAGGCTTCTACTTTGCGTCAATGAGTGAACATCGAGGAATAATATGCCAATGTGTTGCAGGATATATCACAAAAGTTACAACGAATTCAGACTTAGTTTAGGTTACCTTTTCCTACTTTTTGAAAGGAAAGATCACAGTCAGTCGTGAGGACAAATTCATGAGCCTTGAAACGCGCAAGTCTTTGGTCTCCATGGTCAGCGACGATCGAGTTCTCAGCACCTCTGCACTCGGCTACGTGGATCCGGTTATTTTTGTGAGTTTTCTTTTGTTAGCGGTTACTTCGCACGGCAAAATATGAACCCACATTTTCAAAACGTACGCAAGTAAACACCTTATACTTTTGTGGTCTTCCGGTAGATAGCACCAGCGCTACATTGCTGAGCAACGATTACATCTAAGTGCTTAGCACTACAAATTTCTTGCCCATTTTCGTTTGTCGTTTCTCTGTTGCACCTGAGTCCTGTAAATTTTACTGCTTGAAGTTGGTGGTTTCGATTGTGCAGACAAAACTTACCAGGACTTACCATTTGCTCTTGGGTGATAGCGTGCAGCGGTGCGGGTCACAAAATTGTCTCCGACCCCCTAATTTAAGTTTAAAAAGGACTTTTTTATAATTGGTGTTTTGAAATGGGTTGTTAGCCAGTTCTTAATATTGCTTGTCTTAAAAATCGGCCACTGAACTCAATCTGCAATGCTGCATGATAATATTAAAGGTGCGACTTGCTTTGTGCAGATTTTTTTCCCAAGCGTAAAAATTATATTTACAATTGGAATATTTTCGCGGTCTTTTGTGGTTTTGAAAGTATTGGAAGCAAGGTTTCAGGAAATCGCACGAAAAGTCTGCGTGAGGTACGTAACCTTTCAGAACAGCAAAATTTGCGATGGCAACTGATAAACAGCACATCCGATAACACTGCATGTTATACGAATTCCACCAAGGAAAAACCGCTTCCAAAGCATGGGGGTAATCAAATTAAAGTGTTCATGATGCCCACATTGTGTCTTATGAAACGTGCCATTATTGGTACGAACGTTTTAGAAGTGGAGAAGTTTTAAGATGCGGAATTGCATGCTCGACTGAATGAAAACTCAAGGCAAACGGGATAGAAACTTGCAACTCAATTATGAGTAATCAAAATGGGTATTTCTAGGCTCTTTCCCAAATTCGAAAAATTCAAAAACCTGGAAGTCGGGTCCCCCACATGTGTTGACCGAACACAGCCTAAGTCAACGAATGAACACGTGCCTTTCACTGCTTGCATGCCGGCAATAATAGAGGAATTAGTGTAGAAAATTGTGACTGGTGATGGAAAGTTTTTTTTTCAAGAATCCTAAACGCAAAATTTCGTGAGCAGATCTTGTGCAGCAACCCAGGGCATCGACGCCGTAACAGGACATCCACATAAATGAGGTTCCCCTGTCTATCTGGTGGCACATGAAGGGTGTGTTTTATTACGAACTCCTGGAAACTGGTCGTCCGACAGTGACTGCGGAACGCTACAGCCGATAATTGAACAAACTGAACGAAAAGGTCAGAGACCAGAAAAGGCTAATTACTGGGCAAGGAAGCAAACAAGTCATACCGCTGCTGCGCATAGCTGCGCTCGTCCACCTCACATCGCTCGCGCAACTCATAATACCCTCTTGAATTTGGGTTAATAAGTTCTTCGACACGCCGCATATTCACCAGACTTGGGCCCCCTACCAACTATCATTTGTTTTAGTCAATGCAGCAGCACGCCTTTGTAAATAAGCAATTTAAAACGCTGGAAGATGTACACAAATTCGTCGATGATTTTGTTGCCGCGAAGCCTACAAGTACCTGTCGCGACAGCATTTCTACGTTACCTTAGAGATGGCACAATGTCATAGAAAACAATGGACAATATTTCCAAGATCGATTTTGTTGTTCTCGATTTTTTTGGTAAAAATATCTGTACAAATTAAGTCATGCACCTAATATATGCGAGACGGATTAAAGCCTAACAAAAGGCTGCATTTACAATTCTAATTTCTGGCTCGCCTCTGCAGTAGCTTGCATTTCCATGGAGTTGTTTTAATCCCAGCTACCGTCGTCTTCGCACAACCAGGTCTGCTATGAGTATGTAATTATGCTTGCTCTTGGTTTCACCCTTCGCGTAAGAATGTCAAGTGTCGGGTGTCTCCTGTTTTCTCTAAGGCGTCTTAGTTGCCTCTATTTTTAGACATCTCAAGATGGCGAAACGTTCGTTTTGACTGTTGAATCAGACAATTTGATTGCATCAGCTTCTCTCATAATGGGGAGCCCGTTTGGCTCGGGCATCAAAACCACCAACACAGGAATTCTTCTCAACGCTGCGCAGCGCCTTTTTTCTTCAGCACCTCCCAGTTCCACAACATCGCTGAATGTCCCCGCACCCGGTCGACGACCCCTTGCTACAACCAGCCCGATTTTTTTCGAAACGGCTCAACAGAAATGCGGCCATCGTTTTATTGCTGCCAGTTCGAGTGGTCTGCAAGGCATAGTTGGTATCTCACAGGTAAGGTCGTGTCAGTTGTCACTTTTTATTGCTATTATCTCCCACCCACAACTGTTAGCACATTGTTTTCGTTTAAACTCGATCGGTCGAATTTCGTCAATGTTTGCACTGAAATCCTGTGCCGACGTTTAGTGTACGTGGCGTTGACGAAACGAAGACATTGCCACCTCCCCACATTGCATAATGCTTACTCTCCAAGCAAAGTTCGCCGTATGCCTGTTCATTGTTTAGGTTCTCACGTCGTCCTTCCTGTACTTATCGAACGTAACCTGTTCCGGCGATGAGCAACGCCCGCCCCTCCCTTCTGCTGAGGAAACAACCAAGACCTACACACCCGCCGTTGGAGCCTGTCTCCCTGTGAACGCCTCTCTGGCGCTCAAGCGCTTTACCCTGGACTTCCTGCCTGTCCAGAATTCTACGCAGCATGAGTTCGTTGTCCTCCTCGAGCCAGGTTTCCCCTCGGCTATTAAGAAGGGATTGGAGGATCTCGGGCACAAGGTGGTTGCCACAACTAACCCCACTAGCGTTGTGGGCGCAGTTGGGTGGACCCTTTACACCACAATTGGTGGTGTTGAACAATCTTCTGTGAATAGCTCATCGTGGTTCTGAGCATTGATGCACCTTCAAGCTAACTTTTTTTTACTTCTTGCTGTCTTTTTTTCTATCATTTATCTTTCCGCACTATTTACATACTTATCTTTCAGTATTTTGCACAGGTTTTTGTCGTCGTTGTAAAAATAAGAATAATATTAACTGTTTTTGATGTGTCGTTCGTTGTTCCTTTGACGTTAATCTAAGGAGACTAGTGGTGAATGGTCCGAGCAGGTGACAAGATACGGACATCAGGTTGTAGACTTGACTGTAAAATAATCTGAATCGCAGGTTCTGTGCAGCTTAATTTCCCTAAGTTAATAAAATTTGTAAAAATCATGTAGTAGTGTCTTGTTCAAGATATATCCACAACTCATACAAGCATTTCGTGCTTCATTGCGGATACTTGGACTTCACCCACTTGTATAAAGTTTGGGACTGACATAAGGCCATGCTTTATGTCAGCGAAGTTTCCAGCAATTAGTGATCTGTCTCTGTGCTACACTTGCTTGCTTCCATTAATTAACTGTCAAGGTGAGGCTATGGTGTCATTTTGCACTTCAACCTTTAGTTTTGGCTGATTCCTAGTGGTTAGTGTGGTCTTGACAAATAACGCCCACCTAAGTGCGTATGTCGTTCGATGTTGCCGATTTGCAACTACGGTGTAGAAAAGCCTCGATGTGGGCATCACACCCACACCGATGCTACTGATTCATTCGTGCTGTGGCCGCCCGATTCGAACTCAGGTGCCCAGAGAAGACTCAGGTCAACGGAGGCTCAACTACTTATTAGGTTGCTGCGTCTGGAAGTTTTGTGCCGTATTTGTATGCGTTTGTGTGTAATTATGGCCCTGTGGCTTGAAAATGATGAGCCATATTCGTGCTAACATGGAGGTTTAGCTGAACCTGTATATATGTAGGGAGGGTCCAAGACGATAATTGGAGTTTGTCAGGGTGGATGCAGAGTTGGGACCAATTAACTCAGCAGGGGGATTGATTAAACATGCGAAACGCTTCTACACTAACTGTGGTGACAGTTGTGAATCCATAGGATTTGTCTCGGCAGGATTTTTCGGGGTTCTGTCTAACTCATCGATATCATTTTGTTGATGCACCTTGTACTTGATTACGAATACCGACTTGAATTTTTTTATCGATATTATGCTGGAGTTTTTTTTAATGCGAACGGCACTGAAACTATTATTCAAGCCGCACATTCTCCCTTTATGGATCTACCATTGGCCCTAAATTCAGAAAAGGGGTACTGTACATCTTCATGTCTCCATTCTTAGTTTGTTCCGTCAGTTACACCGGTATTATTTTATGAGTAATCAAAAAAGAAAAGCATTAGATGTACATGTTTGAACTAAACTAATCTTTTAAAGAAGTCTTTTTATACTTTTGCGGCTTCATTGCCTCTTAGACAGCAAAACTAATTTCGATAATTTTTGATTATTTATATCAATTTATTAATCTTTGATAGATAATAAACTAGAAATGCATAAAGTCTTTAAAAATACTAAATCGAAAAAGGTGGGATCTCTTATATTTTACTTATGGGCGTTTAAAAGCAAAACACGACTTTACAGAAGTGGAATTCTTCTACAGGATTAAATTTGATATCGTTCAGGCCATTGCATCATCTCAACAAATATTTCTTGAAGATAACGTAACGTTTATCAATCATCGTTAATTAAAACGTAATCGCTAGCTGCGCCATTCGGTCTGATATTTTACCTCTTTTTACCACGCATAACCAAAAATGGCGAACCATATAAATATGCACCTACCTGCAGTACCGAAAGAAAATCATCTCATATAGTATAAGCAAAAAAATTGCTGCCTTTTCTGAATTTTTTAAATGAAAAAAAAACTGAACGTTTTTTAGAATAGTCCTTTAACGAGTGCCGTCATTTGAACCTTTCACCCTTCACGCGCACGATTTGTAAGATGTGTGAACTTCTACTGTCCAATTGTTTTTCTCCTTGCTTTATGATTAAGTTTTCAAAGCTAATAATTTCTTTTTGAATCACCGGCTTATGCGTGTATTTAAATTCATATAACTGTAGATATTGTAATTCAGCAATTCCTAAAATGACCCATACTTTTCCTAGAATACAGTCGACCTCTTCGTTATGCTTCTCTAGCTTCACTTTAATCTCTTAAGATATGATGTTTTATTACTCATAGATATGGTCTATGTACATTACATGGTTTTCAGGTAAATTTCATGGTAGATGGGCAGGTAGAACCACCCAAATTAGCTAACCTGAACGTTGGTAACGCATTTTAACCATGAACATAATGTATTCTTGCTGTTTTACACTTTGTAAGGTTTCGCCTCACATAACTTGAATTTTTACAAGCGTTCTACGTCTAGTGCTGATGCTTAAATTATTTAAAGTTTGTTCCCTTGTGATAATCTATTCAAAAAAAATTAGAACAGAAATACTTTTAAGTAATTCGTTATTGACACCTATGTTTAAAAGCAGTCTAAGTATGCTTCACTGTCCGTCTGAAATACTTGCAGTTCACTCTCAATACATACTGCCGTATGGTGTTCATTCGTGTTGTTTCTGGGTTGTTGAACTGTCTTTTTATTGTTCCCAGTGTGTTGGTTCAATAAAATGCATTATTGAATTATTTTCTTCCTTCAGTGACTGTGATTAAGATCACTTCGTTAATTCTGACTTTCGCCTAAACGATCTTGTTGTTTAATACGGACAGTGAATATTCCACCAATGCAATCTAATCGGGATAGTTATGCAAATATAACATTATCGTCATGACCATAACGAAACATTGGAATTGAGATTGATATGTCCTAAAACTGTGCTAGCTATTTTGGATGTACCCTTTTGTAAAGTCGCTGATGGTTTTACTTCATTATACTGAAGGAACACGTGATTCCTAACCAAACAATATTTGCCTCGAATATCAAAATGGTAGAATTTTTAAGGGGAAGACAGTAGGTTTATGAAGCTGCAAAGTCATTAATGAGTTGCTGATAATCGATAGTAACTGCTATTTGTATCCTTTCTGGTGGGCGGATAGCTGTCACTGTTTTCAGGGCGAAACCCGTTTCTTTAAACGTTAGTAGCCTCAAAGAATTTTCATCCACCTACTTTTAAATGCATTTTTCATATTTGTTTCGCTATGCACTAAAAAAACAGTAAAAAACTGGTTTTGTCCTCTGTAATTGGTACATTCACCCCATCTAAATTATTCTACACCTTTTTAATCGCTGGCCGAACTTTGCTAGCCAATCAAGCCATTACACCATCTTTTTTTCACTGTAGAGATAATGAAAAAGAAAAGGTAAGTCTGGCCTTGAATTGATGAGTTCTTTCTCAGTCAGATTTACCGAGAACGCCGTCGAAAACAGCTCCTCGAAGACAATGTAAAAGAGGAGGCAACAATTAAGAAGCTAACTAAAAAACTCGGCCTGGACCGTCGGAAACCCCGGAAATCTGGTGTTCAGAAGCAGCCTGCTTGGATGAGAGAAAGTGGTCTGGATTGTAAGGTCGAAGATTTATTAAACATTCCTTCCTCCTATTCTAGACCTCCTTGACTTTGAAAAGCATGATGAAGTCCCTGTTAGTGAAACCATTGAAGCGACTGTAATCGGAGATGTAAATATTGTGAAGAAACAAAGTACAAATCACTTATGTTTAATGTAATTGTTAGAAATAAGCAAAGACATATACGGACAAAACATCGGAGGATCCGAAAGCTCCCTTGACGATTTGATGGGCTCCGACTCTGAAAGTGAAGAAATGTGTGTCGACTCCCCCGGGGAGGAGGGAGATGAGGATGTGGAACAAGAAGGAAAACCCGAAGATTCGGGGCAAGTTCGGGAACTGGTTGAGCATGAATCGGCTTCGACTGTCGTAGAAGATACCACCAACGACGAGATAATTCTAAATCTTCGTCGGAGTGTACGTCGTCTTTTGAACTGCGTTTCAGAGGCCCAGATGGCAAAAACAATTTCCGACCTTGTGGAGTTCTTTTCTGATCGACCACGTGCAATTGTGCGACAGGTTCTTATAGAAGAAATTGACATTCTACTTGGTGTAAGTGGTTCTTTTTTCATTGGCATGTTTCATTCTGTTATATGCGAGATAATCCTATGGTCTGGTTTGTAAATAGTTTTCTTACTGTTTCAAAAACGTCACCCTAATGTACCTAGATGTTCTTCTAGAGATTGAAATTGACATGATTTTAGTATTTAACTATTGGGGTTCATTGGTGTTTTTAATATTAATTTAAATGGTCCAACCGAGACGCTTTTTGATGCACTCTTGTGCCTCATATTCATGCACATGTCGTAGGGCTCGGCAGGCATAATACTCCATATTAGGTCATTAGGAGGTTCTAGATTAAAGGCGAGTACCTATTGCATTCCTACTTGGTTGACTCCTTCTCCGTGTTTAGTCATTTCCCCTTGATCGTGGTCAGTCGGTCGGTTGGCTTCAGCAGGAATTGGCTGTTTGCCTAGTCAGCGCTCAAAGCCGTCTTGACCACAGCGGGCAGGACTCGCGCCTTGTGGCGCATTTTGCTGAATTTTTGGTCTCAAAGTTGCCTCAGGGGAAAACTCTTATAGAAGATGCAGGAGTCGTCGCCTCGCGCTGTGTCTTTTTATCGTACCTTTACCGATTTGGGGTCAGTTTTTTCTTTTATTTGCGTATTTGGCGTTTTGTCTTGGTAGTTAACATTCTGTGATTTCAATTTAGGCACTTACAGGTGACCTGGTTGTGGATTTGGTTGAAGAATTTGTCAAATTCGGTGACTTGTCAGCTCTCCAAATTGCCCATCAGATGGTCAAGCGTATGTCTTATCCTTGCCACTTAAACTTGTTGCTATGGGGAGTGTTCTGTGAAATGCCACTGATGTCCTAACATTATTTGTTAGCCCTTATTTTACTAGAAAGTAACGCTTTTTGCGTATTATTTAGCTGTCGGTTGTGTTTTGCGAAAGGAGCAGCTTGAACGGTGTATGCAGTTAGTAAACGGCATCAAAGAGACTATCTCCACTCTTGATCAGTCAAATTTCGAGAAAATGTGAGTCGATTTGGTTAATTTTCAGAAATTATTTTCCTCCTTTGTGTTTCGATCTTATTTAACGAAGTTATATCGTCCTCAGTGAGTTTGGTTTAATTTTTTTTGACGATTCAACCCGCTTAAAAATAAACCACGTTGTCAAAAATAGTCAAATTCAACAAACCTGTCCAACGTAAGGTTTCATTGTTAGCATGTAGTCCCTTAAACGCCTTCATTTGAGTTCAAAATGAAAAATTCACCCGTAGTAGCTAAAAATACTTTTTACGCTGGAACCATCGGTCGCTGGTGTAAGTGGTGGACCTATCAAGTTAGTGTTCGAGGTTTTGGGGCCACACGATTTCTACGGCCAGTAGCAGAATAAACTAAACCAACCCCCTGAACGGGCTCATTAGTGCGAAGTGTGAGCAAATGGTGCCATTTCGTTAGAGATGTGTGAAGGCGCACAGGGAGAACTCTCGCGTAGTGCCAACAGAGCTCGCGGTGGTGTGAAAGCCCGTGAAATGTGCAAGTTAGTTGTCTGTGAACCTCCATCCCCCACAAAACCGCATCTTTTTGCTTGAGTTCATCCGGCAATCCCGTCTCCGCTAACTCTCTTAGAAACGAAGACATGCATATGGTGAAGTTGTATTCGGTTTCTTAAACGTGCTTTTGCAGTATACGTAGGGACATTTGTTATCTCGGTTTGAGGCACCCCCGGAGTAGTTCCTTTTGAATGGGAACACTCAACTTTCGATGCGTAATAATGGTCAATCGCAGCTCACTGAATGGTCTAAATGGAAATCCTTGTAAGATTGAGACTTTGGCTCATTTGTAGGTCCTGTAAATTTGTAAGTCTCAGGGGACCTTAATGATGTCCCTTCTCTTTCACCGTCTTTCACGATTTTAATAAAATTAACCCAAATTTAATCTAAACTAATGTAAACATGTTGGATTTTGCTGTATTAATTATCTCACATGACTTGATTCTCTGGACTACAAGTTTAATTTCATAATTAGATCTGCAAAATGGAGAACAGTATTGACTATATGTATCGCAATTTCGCTACCCGACCTGCTGGATATTAATTAAACAAATCGCAATTGAGGTCATGAAATACTGGGATAGGATACATGTATATTCTGCTAACAAGGTCTATTTCTGGCCATGAAACAATGTTTCACCTCAATACGTTTTAAGTTGAAATATCCACGGGGTTCGTTACTTGCGTGTTGCTTTTTCTATTTTGTAGTGTAGAATTGGAGGGTATCGTTGCAAACCTCTCTGCTAAACATTCCAAAGAACCTGCACCTTCGAGTGCGGATCATTTTGCCAAGATGATGCGCAGTTGGAACAAAGGTGCGTGTCTAAGATTGTGCCCAAAACGTCTGTAAATGTGCTGTCGCCGTTTCAAATACGGTAACTCAAAAATCTGCGAGTATATCGCAACGCGACATAAAACTTGGCATGATTAGGCCTCATTAACTACTATCATTTCAGTTATAAAGTGGAAAACGCTTTCGAAGCGCTGCTAATCAACGGAGTAAGAATCCATGCTTGATTGTTGCCCGCATGAATGAATTTATCAGCAAGGAATTTGCCTTGAATGCTCATCCACAAAGTGCTCCATAGTCCTGACTTTCGTTGATACCTGGAATCGTGATTTTTGGGACATTTGCCACAAACAAAGCGTCGGTTAACATTGACTGAACCCTTTTTAAGCGTCCTTGGCGCACAAAGTCCTAGTTATTGCTTTTTTACTGCGCAATTTTGTGAATTTGTTTGATTTACAGTGCTGGGTATCAATGCGTTAAGACAACATGCAAACTTGATGCGGATGTTTAATGTCTCAAAAGTCCAGTGCCCCCAGCCCTTCGAGTGCATGCTTGCCCATTCTCCATTGCATTGTCATGGTCTGATTCTCTTTCCGGTCCGTAACCAACTTGCGTGTGATTTCCAGGAATCTCCTTTTCAAAGGAATTCAGACTTCCTCTACGCTTAGAAGAACTGCGAAACGCCAAAGGTAGGGGTCGATGGTGGGCCGTGGGGTCGGCCTTCAAGGGCGATGCACTTGAGTCAGATTCTCCTTTACTTCCAAAGCGGGACGAGAGTTCATCGAAAAAGGCATTCGCACTTCCGCCTGAGGTAAATTACCGATGCATTCGCTGAAATAGTTATTATTTGGTACCCAGTTACACATAACCCAGTCGAATCACGGTCCCACGTATACGACAAAATCAATGTCTATGGAGAAGTTATTTTTATTTTATTTATGTTCAATACTAGAACATGGACATTGGGAAGTAAAATTGAACCATTTCCGCTGTAATATCAGTTTAATATCTTAAGGTACACTCGTATTCGGCATTTCGTTGGATTCCACACTAGCTTGATGGCTATAAATAACCTGAAGCTATTCTGTAAAATTATGGTCTTGAGAGAATGGCAGTACGATATATTTCAAAGCGAGACTTGGGAGTAAATGAATGTTAAAATCTTCATTTTCTAACTGCATTATTAGTGTATTTAATGTATGAAATCTTGCGCTCAATGCTGCTACAATTACTATGGTAATGCATGAATTTTCAGGAAATCTAACAAATCAACATAAATCGATTAAAACTGACTTGAAGAAGTGTGGATACAATGAGAATAGCTCGAGTTCTGATAGTTTGTTGCGATGGCTCATGTTTCTTTAATTTTAAACTGCATTTATCTCTGAAACCACCATTGCTTTGTATGTGTTTTCGATGTATGACGATTTTTCTAAATACCCCCTATACCCCTATACCCTTTTATCAAATTTGTATCGCTTTAGCTTGCGGAAATTGCATCTCGCCTGGGACTAATAACTCCGATCCGACAGCAGTTATTTGGTGTTCTTGTATCCACACCAGGTGGGCCAGATTGCACCGCCAATGCCCTCATTCTGGCTTGTTCACGTATGGGAGCAGTTAAACAAGGTGCATCAGAGCATCGGGAGCGGGAAATGGTACAAATTGTCATTCATTGTTTGGTCTCTGAGCAGCCCTTCAATCGGTTTTACACTCGAGTGCTTGGTGCTCTTTTAAATCACCATCGGCGTTTCGGGGTACGTACAGTTGTGTCCTAACGTGCCAATTTCTTTTGATTACTCTTTTTTAAACTTTATAGACTGATAAATTGCAATATTGATACTTTAGTCTGCCATTATTTTGAGTGCTCTGATTAATGTTTCTGGAATGAATTCATTTAATAAATTGCATTGTTTAACTACATGTGCCTCAATCAGGTCCACTCTCCCTGATCAATCTTAAATCACCCCACCCATTTAATCTTTCAACAGCTTATGATAAGATGCGCCTTCTGGGACGTAATGGCAAAGGATGAGCTAACTAAAGAAGCGAAGTCCAACGCAGGTAGAGCGATTGGCATTCTTGCGTCTGTCTTTGACTTCCCACTTACATTGCTTAAGGTAACGTTGATTGCTTCTTCGTAAAGTATTTGTTAATTTCACGTATGTGCTCTAGAAATGTTTTCTACTTTGCAGAAATTTAACTTTGGGGATGAATCAGAAGCCAACGTAGTCCTGCTCTCGTCCATGATAAACGAATTAACGAATATGTCGTTCAACAAAACCTTGGAAAAATTCGCATACGTCGCAAATAATAGTCCTAAACTTGGTCGTAATTTGCGAATCTTCATGAGAAAATTAAGCCGAAACCACCCCAGCGAAGCATGCCGTTCCTACCTCAGTCGCCTTGTCTCTGATTTGCGAGATCTTTTCCCATGATCAGATGTGACATTTGTACACTGTGCATAAAATGTACCGATGGGTACATGCAAACCTGTTCTTTTGACTCAAGTCAATGTAAATATAGTGTGATGGAGGTTTTTGTGTCCATGTGTTTTTTGTCTTTGTTTTTTTTTAAATTCCGGGGTGTAGGTAGTAACTTAACCCTTGCCGGAACCCCAGCTTTTGCAACAGTAATGTTAGGGCAATTTCTAGGCCTAAATAAATTATTGGGAAGTGGAACTGGTCAGTAAAATCTGTAGCGCAGATAGGCGCTGATTTTAAAATTTAAGTATAAGTAAATCCAGTGGGAATTAACCTTAATGTTAAAGTATCATTGTCGATTTAAAAATAATTTGTTCTAATGTTTTCCCAAAAAATTGTAATCGAAAATCTGTTTTAACCCTTGCTCTTTTTTGCGGCTTAATCAACATACTCGGGTTTTGGTGTGTTGCAGCTTATGAATTCCGATAACGAGGTTTACTTTGATGCACCAGAGGAACTTGATGAGATCGAAGACTCAATGTTTGATGATATTCAAGACTAAATAATTTACTATAGCGATAGATGTTGCATGACACCTGAATGCGATAGCAGGCGTAACCGCATTGAGTCCCTCAAGAAAAGCGCTCGAAAGTTCGATCAGCCGTCGGATATTCCTCCATATCCTCACTTTGATTCTCTTGAACCTTCATCATCAGTGGTATGTCTTTATATTTCTTCCACGTTTATGTGTACAGATTCCATATTCATCCCATCATATACTTGATGCCTTTTATCACCTTTTTTCCTTAATAATCATTGCTTTTTTTACTACAGGCACCTATTCTAACATCAGGAACGTATGATCCTGTTCTCTCTGACCGTGCAACCACTTCCTCTTTTCGTCTTCTCAGCAGAACATTTCCTGAAAAGTCGTCGTTTTTTCCAAGATCAAGTAAGAGATTTTCTTTTGTGTGTGTGGTGATTTTACTACAACTATCACTACCATTAATATGTAGGTCTTCAGAGTTCTGGCTTTCTGTTCAATGATGATGGTGACAGCTCTTCTAATGTTCGCTCCCGAACCACCCAACCCTCTTGTTTCTCCCCGCCCCCTTATCCTCCACCAAAGATCGTCCCTGCGTTACCTTTTGGGCGACCCTCCCCAATGTCTTCGGCTCCAGAAGTAAGCCTTCGACGAAACCACCCAAACAAAGATGATTATGTCAAGTCATGGTCTCTTGACGCTGCTCGGTATCGACCTCAGGTCCTTCTAAACGAGCAACGACTCAGCCTCCTAGTTTCTCCACGTGTAAGTCCTTCTATTCAATAGAGTAGAATTTTCTTCGTATGTCTCTAATTATAACGGGGTCCATTTACATAGTTAGTTGCTATTCTAATCTCGTGTCGATGTCTAAAGGCAATTTGTAATATCGTTTTTTCGTCGACGATATTTCGGGCACATAAAACTTCCCTCCTTGTATGTCCTCTGTTTTTTGTTCGTCTCTTGTCTGACCCATTCAGGTCTTGGTCATTTCACCTTATCATTTTGAGTGGAAACGTTTATTAAGGTTTCCTGTCTCAACAACAACTAAGCGCCAACTACAGAGTCCTAATAATTTGTCTTTTTCCCATGTTTTTTGTGGATTTTTGCGGTTAATTTTTAATGTTTGGTGGTACAATAATGTGAACGCCAGCTGGTCGCAAATTTTGTGGTAACTGATTTTGTTCGTAAAAATTTAGAAACGCACAAAATGTAATACCTTAAGTGACAATTCTCATATACCTGACAAGCAAGGTAAAATTGTCTTGGCATGAAAGTACTGACTCGATATAGCACAAATGTGATCTCCGTGCTATAACTTTATCTGGTTATTTTGAAATGGCTCTTATTATTATTATTATTGGCTTTTAGGGGCCATTGCCAATGGAACCACTGTTGGATCGTTCCGAAAGTTCTGAATTGGGTACGATTATTGTGTTTATTCAATAGGCTCTACAAGTTTACCACAGTCCGAAATTCCACACGAGAAATTGACATGGCAAATCGTTCATTAAGTTTCCACTCTATCGTAACATTAGCCACTCTTTGTATATTTCTTCGCTAACTTGTCTTTCACCTTGATGAGTACACCTACCCGTACTTTGGTTACACCAAGCCCGTCATTACTCCTTAAGCTTCTGTCTTGTAACATTAGTTTGCGACTTCAAAAAACCCCATTTGTTTATGCCGGTGGGCGGTCCTTCATTTTTATGTTAGTCCTTTCGTGCAACTCTCTCTAAGCTTGTAAGAATCGCACACTTCATATCAAGGGCCGCAACCCCTGCGTACTATTCGCTGGAATGGTGCACTTTAGTCGGTAGATTGTGCAGTTTATGAACACGATGACAGCACGGTGGTGCCAATTTTACTCTCCATTCTTTAGCACTAGAATGCAACTGCTCCTAAAGTTCCTCTGCAATGAATACTTTTTGGAGGATAGGTATCACCAAATTGAACGCCGAAAAGTTTTATGAACATTCAATTAATGCCGTTTGTGGTTGCAGATTATGCGACTCAAAATCTTTTAAAAAATGCATCCATAGTGTTAATTGTGCAGGCTTGCCATCTCATGTGTATCAATATTGCTAAAAATTGTTTGCTGGCTAATTTAACCCTCATTCACTTCTTGCAAAACGTGTCTATTAGGACCTAGTTCTTAGAGAATCCAGTAAAAGTGCATTTCGGCTGTTGAGAGTGGTTCCTCGTCGAGGTTACCGGTTTACTTCCTGCTAAACCCAAATAATACCAGGTTGGTCTACGGTGGCGAGGAAATTTCCATTCATTCAGTTATCGGAAGCAGCCGCTTTGTTGTGTCCACAGTTACCTTGTAACCAATCTTCTCTTGGTCAAGAAATGCGCACGTTGCGGACGTGGCGTCCGATGGCTAAACCTGAATTCATGTTGGCAGTTGGTTTCACTAAAGATTCACGCGATTGCATCCGTTGCTGACAACCAGGGCTAAAAATTCTCGCGAGAATACATCGACCCTTAATGTCGTACGAATGAAGCTCATCGTTCTGGGAAAGCATCTTCTTTTCGCAGCCCTTTTTCCAAATAGCTTGACAGTTGTCGATGTGTTTGGTGTCGAAGACAGTGAACGTGAGGCCTTTTTTAACCCACTCGCTTCCAGCTTTGCACTTTGGTAATTGCTCTTAGTGCATTTATCAAATTGCTTGTTTTCCGTCGATGGATTGACGCCTGTGCATAGGCCAACTTTAATATTGTAGGCGATGTTGGCGCCGATCCCCTCATGCACCGCACGACGACGACCACCGACACCCTCCAGCCCTCGCGGGCGACGGGGCAGCCCGCCTTCGAGGCGTCGCAGGTGTCGCTGCCGTCAACGCGGCAGGTGAAGGCGGCTGCGGCCACACTGCCTGCCAGCACCGTCAACCCTATGTCTCTCGACTACCGCACGCGAACCTTGAGGTGTAGCTGGAGTTTGTTGTGTTTCGTTTGTTGCGTGTGCTCATGCTTGAATTCTGTCGTGACCGTCTCAATGACATTTCACGCAAATTTCGGTAGCTTTCAATTAAGTCTTTCAAAGCACTGAATGTGGCTGTCCAGGTAGTTGGAGAGTCTTAACTCTGCTACAGTGATTTGTCGCTTTAGGATCACGCCTTAGCTCTACAAGGCTTACTACTGCGACTTCAGGATTTGCACCTTTCATATTTCTTCACTTAAAATTATTGCCCCCTAATATTTTTGTTAGCAAAAACTACTACTCCCTAACTGAAACAGAACTGAGTTAAGTATTCAGAGTCACTGCCCAATAAAAATTTGCTGCTCTTAATAGCCAAAAAAGTGTCTTATTAACAGGCGACGAACAGAGCAGCATTACCTTTGCGAAATCCCTTGACACCAGGGTTGCACAGTGTTAACACTAAGTGTCGATTTCATGGGTTTATCTGCTTAGGTGGATTAGCAACATCTGGCGGTGCGATTAGTATCCCACCTTAGCCTCTCTTAATAGGCTTGAAATTTACAGTAAAATATGGGATGTAAAGTGGCTTGATCTCACTGCTTCCTAGGATGCTTGACCGTACTTGTTTTTGTGTGTACAGGCTTGGATGCTGCCGCCAAGTTTCTCGTTAATGGCAAAGGTGGTGATTATCTGTCTCAATCCCAGTTTCTAGGGCGATAGCTTAAGTTAACTCTTTTTTAATCACTAAAATTGCCTTTAAACTTCGCGTCGACAAGCAGTCTACTAGGCCAGCATCTCCATAGCCTTTTTAACCGTTTTAATGAACCCCTGCATTCTCCCACCTTCCAAACTCACTGTGCGTTTTGGTTCAATTTTCGCCCCAACAAGCAAAGATGCCACTCGGGAAATCAAGTAAGCCCAATGTTGCTGGCTTCCGTTTCTGCTACCTCCTAACCCTCCCCCCTGTTTTTTTCGTTTCGCTTCCCGCCTTCATGATTCTCTGCTCAAACCAGCCTTCTTATTCCAGCGCCTCGAGTCTGCAAAGCGGCGTCGACGTGGAGAAGTTGGACAGTGAAAGAGGTGGCGCCCACCGTAACCCCAACAAACTATCTGGGTGAGGTTTTAAGCCCTTTTTCATTCACTATCTCCAGAGCCTCTTCGTTCTAACGGTCTCCTTCATGTTAAGACAAAATTCTCGTTTGTTTTTCAATGGCTTGCTTCGTGCGTTCTCAAGAGATCTTGGAGCGTCATTGCTTACCTCGATGTGGATTCGCTTCTCTTAGACACATTGGAAGAATTCTCATAGAATTTTCTTCTCTCATTTTAGCATCCGTCGACTTCAGACGGCTTTTCGAGGGGCTATGAATGCAGTGCGCTCTGCTACAAAGACTAAAAGTATGTTATTTTTACACAAACTGAAACAGGCGTTTAAAATTATATTCCACGCACAGCATTTTCGCTGGACAACACACACAATCCGTAATTTGCCGATCGCGTTTTCATGTGTTTACGTATCTTCGCCGGCAAAGCCTTAGCCTTGAGGTCGTTGTGAAGTCGGTTTTTCCGCTTTCTTAGGGTTTTTGTGGCACAAAGTCCCTCGAAATGTTCTTTTTAGAGCCCGTTAATCAATTCTACCCCATTTACTTGGTATCATCATTCCGTCTTTGAGCAATAAAATGGGGCTAAGCATCGAGTGCTTCCTGTGAAGTTTCCCGGACACATTGAAAATAATCTTGGTGTTATTGTTCCGTCTTTGTTTAATGGAAAATCAATAAAACAGGGCTAGGCATCGAATGCATGCTGTAAAGTTTCCCAGACACATTCAAGATTACCTTTTCGGTTAGGTGTAATTCTGAAGGAATTGTTTCAAACCAACTTACCTCAGACTACGATTGTTAATTTTCACCATCAACGTCTCTGGCGTGGTTTCTTCAGTGTCCCAGCCAGCTGTGCCTAGAGCATCTTAAGTGGTCTTTATGACGTGGTCTTTTAATCCAGAGCTTTCCCTGTCACTTCCGCCTTGTCTAAATTTCTGTTTGAGACCCGGATTGGCAGAGCTATTCTTCTCCTTGTAGAGCCACGTAATTCAGAGAATTCTGCGGTTTGCCGTAACCCACTTAATTGGTCGCTTTAACCCCGCTTATTATGCCCCTCAAACTTGCCACTAGGTTAAAATAATAACAAGCTCATTTTCATAGCGTAAAAAGTACCTTTGAAGGCTATTCCAGTAGTTAAATTATCTAAATAAACGATAAAATTGGAGTTCTTAGATGTATCTTCTTCCAAATTGTAATCTTGCGTTTTATTTGACCTCAGACGTCATTTCTGGTTGTCCGAATTATCTGACAATGGCCTATGTGCGATCAAACGTGCTTCGTTAATGCATAAATAATTCAACGTGGAACGATCCCACATTTCTTAGGTCCTCGATGGTACCTATTTTGTACGTGAACATTGTAAGGATTATCGAATTCTTTAACCAACCTAGTCCACCTGGCTGTCTCGCCTGAACTAACAACAATTCCACTTAATTACCCAGAAATTTAGTGTCCCGTGGTAATATTTACCAACATCATTGTCAACAATGCACTATGTGAGTTGAAATAAGTAGAAGGTGCTTCTTTCAAGACCAATGTGGCTGCTTCAGTGGGAAATCTGTTCCATTGACCATACCAACGGGGAGTTGTCCTTTTGACTACATGTCTGAACGTCATGCATATACTATATGGGTTTCCCTTAGTTGTAAACACGCCTGCAATGGTCCCATTTTGGTGCCTAAACTATAGACACTTCTTTCAGCTTCTACCCGTCATCCAAGCTGACGCTCTGTGTTCATGACGATGACTGAAATGTATTGTGGGCTTCAAATCGTGCTATTCGTTTCACTAACCCACCGATTGAGCCCTCATTACAATTCGAGCTCTTGCTGCGAGCCGTCTTCTCTAAACTGTGTTTACGATTTGCATTCTAAGACTAACTGGCAGTTGTTTGTCAAATAATATACTTCCACTCAAACTAATAACCCTTGTCAACGTTATTGGGAGATTTTGACGCGCCAGTACGTACTGCTTGCTGATTCCATTCATTTTGCCTCTAAGCCTACGTTAGTAATTAAAAGATTACGTGATGGAGACGACTGTGTAGACAACGCTATGGCTGGCACTATGTTTTTACGCTTCGCTTCGGTTGTCGCAACTTACTACTCAGGTGCGTCTTCAGTAGCCTCGTAAAGCTTACCTTTCTGATGTAGTTTTTAGCCAAGATGAACCATCGTCGGATGAAGATGACGAAGTCATTGGGAATCAGGGCATCAGGGTACGTCTGCAACCGGTTAATAAGCAAACCTGCACCCGATAATGTTTGTGTGACAAAATCTTAAATCTCTGCTCATTCCTTGTATGTCATTGCCTCTACTGTTCCTATCCTGGCAGTTGCGCTGTTCTCGGAAGATCAAAAGTCACAGGGAGTTCCTTCAAATAAAGCTGGTTCAGAAGATGGATAACGACCATATAGTAAGTCATTCCATGTTGTCCCGAACTTTTCCCTACACCACTTTCACACTGTGCTAATTCTTCTGTTCTACAGGGTGCCATCTGGGCTATGCGTTCGTCACCTTGTGGCCGACTCTTGGTAAGCACTGCCACGTCAGTTGACTGCACAGGCTTGAGTTACTTTTTTATTCTTAACGGAATGTACTGCGCCCACCCATGCCTGTAATTCATCCGCGTAAACACTTGTCGTGACAGATGGGCCTTCCAGCTGTCGTGCTCAGTTGGGTGAATTAAGGACCCCATGTGTTGTCGCATCTACCTAATCCCTTATGCAGCAAATCTCTTCTGCTGCCGCATCATTGCGATTTTTTTTGGGGGGCTGTTTTGTTTACGTTACTTTGCTGTCCATAAAATTAGACCCGGGGCGCACAAATATTACAGTTTGGTCATCATGTGTACTTTGAAGGTGGCGTTATTTTTGGACAACCGCACCCCAAATTTTACGAAGACGATGTAATATGTAATTTAGTAGGAGGTGAACACTGCAAATCACGAATTTCTATGGGCATTCTGTGGGATCAACCTGTCAGTATCCTTTCTCAGTTTCTGTTACCTTTATCATTGTTCCTGTGTTTCCTATCTAAAATGTCGGAATTGCTTCTATCAGCATTAGCAGGCTCAGTGTTGTAGAACTGTATCATTCCTATATCGAAATCGAAAAACTGATCACTCATTAACTCTCTCTCTCTGTGTATCTCTTCTTTTGAAATCTGACTTCGTAATTTGTAGTCCCTGTATCCTACTATTGGTATCCTATAAATCGATCGAAAATCTATGCTGCTAGAGCCGTAAAAGCCCACAAGTGACGTTTTCCATTAATAAATCATCTATTATCTTGTATTTGAAACAAACCATGCCGCAGTCCACTTGACATTTGAGCACAACGAACTCCTGTACACAACCACACGGGTATATTTTTAGCCAGAGTTGTCTCTGCGCTTTGAGAACTGCCAGAATCTTCTAAACTTTGTACCTGCATATTTCATTTGAAGTCAGCGCTGTGCTAGTAAAGCCTATGTGTAATTGTGCATGAAATGTTGGTCCGTATTTGTGTGTGCGTGCTTGTATAATGCTCATGTTTTTATAGGCCACCGCCGGCTACGACCGGAATATTCGTATTTGGGTGCTGAGGCAATGGCACAACCACTTCAGGACCATGCTTCAGTCCACAGGTCTGTTGTAGTGGGCAAGTCAGTTTATCGAAGCTTTTAGTCAGGAGTGCCTCTTTTGCAATTTTTTAAATTAAAAATAGGCCTCTGTTGCATCTCTTATTATGTTCGGTTACGCAGGGTTTTGTTAAACACAAACAAAGAACGTTGTTTCTGAATACATAACGTCAATTTGCTAAAACTCGCTCGATATTTGCCCCAAAACTTACCAATAATCATTTGCTAAATCCTTTCACTTCTTAGCCAATCAAATGCACGAAGGGGGAGAAGTGCCTTCGAACCTCAATGCACCCTCTCAGCTGCCTGTCGACGACCTTGACATTGAATCCTTGAGCATGACGTCAGCCTCTCTGTCCACTGGTCGCACTGATGTAAGCGGGTATCTTTGCTTGTGCTTACCACCTGTCACCTCAAGGTAGTCTGAGATACTGCTCCCTAGGACGAATCCAATGTAATCTTTTCTGCTTATCTAATTATCATCCCAACCCTCTAAACACGGTATATTCCAACCTCTCTCCAACATCTGGCTAGCTTAACATCATATTAAACTTACAAATGCCTACAGAGTATTTGGCCTCTTCATGTTCGATGCACGTACCATTGTGTGTTATCTCAAAATGCGTACTACTGAAAACCGACGTCTTTGTGCTGTCAGTTTGCGTCCATGTGTCTTTTTTAGGACGGAGCAAGCTCGTGTAGCAGTTCAGGTGTTATGGATGCTGCCGCGGGTTCCGTTCGGAGTCGTGGGGAGGTCAACCCCTCCGACCTAGTTCTGGGCTCCGGAGGGAACACGGAGGTGCGAAGGTCGCCCTTTTACCACCCACAGCCACTCCTCGTCTACCGCGGTCACGAGGGCGTTGTTACTGAGCTCGCCTGGTCAAAGAACCTCTTCCTGCTCAGCACTGGCATGGATCGCCAGGTCCGGCTGTGGCACATCTCGCGCTCGGAGTGCCTCTGCGCCTTTAGCCACAACGACACCGTCCCAGCCATCGTCTTCCATCCCAAGGTGAGAGGCCACTCCTATCTCTCTAGGCATGTGAACTTTTGGAATCGTAAAGGCAATTGTTGTTGGCTGCCTTTTTTTCTTAGGATGATCGGTACTTCCTCTCAGGTAGCCTAGACGGGAAACTTCGTCTCTGGAATATCCCGGACAAGAAGGTCCGCTTCTGGGTGGACGTTCCGCTGCCCTCCTCCCTGCCTCCGCCCTCCTTCCCCTCCTCCGATCGCGGGCTGTCCCCCGAGCCCAAGACCATCATCACGTGCGCCACCTTCGCTTGTGACAGCACCAAGGTGGTCGTCGGCAGCTACGACGGACGCGTCATGTTCTTCAATACTGAGGTGATTATTTCACGAGGCTGGGATCTCATACCTAAACTTTTCGTTGTTCCAGGCTAAAAATGTGTGTTTTGATCGCTTAGAAGGCGATTTTGTGATTAGTAGGCAACATTTTTCCATTTTAAGTTCTCAAGGGTCACAATCATTGACCGCAATGGCATCACTGCTTTCCCCCTCAAACCTAATGAGCCACTCCTGAACACTGGGGCAATTTATTTGCAACTTGCGTGTATTGCCCTGCTGCAGATGTCGGCAAGAGACCAGTGAATTCAACATTGATCATCTTCGTCTATCTGGCGTTTCAACACTGACCGCAATTATAACGCCTTGCTGTGTTTTGTTCTAGTTAACCTACATCACCTTCATTGCCGTTAAGTCGGTCTCTGGGCGGTCTCAGCAATGCCGCGTAACTGCCATCGAGGTCGACCCCACTGATTCCAACAAGGTGCGATTCTTGTTTGACAATCCCATTACATTCCTTTTCTACAAATATCCCATCCGTACTCGCGTTGAATTTTTTCCTGGTTTAAAAAATGCATATTGAATTTTTGCGCTTTTTCTTTCCAATATTCTAAAGGCGTTTTTGAATCAGGTCAATCGAGATGTTTTTCAAGCTGTTTTTTTGTCAAAATTTGCATTTCCACTGCAGGTCCTTGTTACTTCAAACGACTCCCGTGTTCGGTTAATAGATGCAAGGGACTACCACACCTTGTGCAAGTATCGCGGCTTCTTGAATGAGACCAGTCAAATTCGGGCTTCTTTCAGGTACCGTCTTCACACCTTTGCGCCAAATGTTCATTTTATCAACATCGATCTATTTTGGCTAAGTCAGCGATGTTATCTACTAGCTGTCCTTGTTGACAACAGTTTAGTGACTCTGCTTTCTTGGTTCCTAACGCTCGCGGTTCGGTAGTGGAAATTGGCCGCATTGGTTTTAAATGAATAGTGAACCATCGCACAAAATTGCCGTTTTTCGAACAACTTGTAATTCCGGTAACTAAGCTTGCCTTGTTTCACCGTGTCGGTTACGGCTTCGCCTTGTTCTTTGTATGTCCATAGACAACTGGATCAGTGGCCAAATTCGGCTAAAGGCAGAGTTTCTGTCTGAACACCGCATTTTGTTTGCTTCTAGGGTGTATACAGTGCAGACCGCAAATAACGGTTGTACGATTTTAGTGCCTAGATGACCACTTTAATGCATAAATTGCTATACACTCATCGGTAGTATTTCGAAACAGATTATCATATTCTTTCGGTGCGAAAAGTTAATATGCTAATGTAAAAAAAGTAGTCGTGTATTTTGACTGCGTGAATTTTGTCAGCAGTTGTTCCGGTGCATTAAAAAGTAGTTTTGACTTGAGCATTTGTAACGGATTTCCGACCTCTAATTCCCCAGGCAGCTGCTGCGTAAGTCGAATCCCGTTAATAAATGTAAAAGTCAAAACACCTAACTAAACGATTTCCCAACTCACGTTAGTTGTTCTCTGTGTTCTTTTGTATCAGCGCCACCGGTCGTTACATAATATCCGGATCAGAGAACTGTTTCTTCTACATTTGGCGCAAGCAGATGGATTTTCTCAACGTCTCTCGATTTTCCTCCTCACGGAAGGACCGCAATAACTGCTGGGAAGCCATCAAAGCCCACGACGCGGTTGTCACGGTTGCCGTGTTCCTGCCCAATCCCGATCTGCTGTTGGACAAGCGTCTGCGTCGCTGGAATTCTGCCAGACGGCGTGCCGGTGTCGATCATGCTCTGCGGATGAAAATGGCCAGCAAGGTGTCCACGTATTGGGGCGAGGTAATTGTCTCCGCCGACTGCAATGGGTGTATCAGGGTTTTCAAAAATCGTGCTCCCCTAGCCACACCTCTTGCAAACGCCGGCAATAACCGGGAGGGATCCTGAACATCGGTTAATTAATTTGTGTTGAAGCCTTCATTTCACGTCTTTCTTTTAGCGGTAATCTTTGTCTTTTTGTGTTGACTATGCACTACCCGTCTTCGTTCAAATATCGGTTGTCAAAAATTAGATGAATTTCCATATTTTTGAGAAATTTTAATATTCTCGACCTTCAGGTTGTTCTGACGTGGATTGACAATCGACACATGTCACAGTTGCTTCCTACGCCTTTGTCTTTTGCTTTATAATTGGGGTGTTTCAGCAATATTATATATAGTACTTTCATTCTACGAAACTTGCTGGTGATGTTTTAAATGACTACTAATCACCTAACTCTTCTTGATCTCACTTGATTCATAGCTCCTTTTTCCCTTAGAGGAATGAAATCCAGATATTGTAGTTTACGAGAGGTTTCAACGAAAATTGCATGTAAAATGACTGGCGAAACTTTCTGCGGTGCGTGCTTTGTATGGGCCGATTCATTCCTAATAATCGCAGTTTTTGGTGAAGGATTTGGAATTCCCTTCTAGCTTTTCAGATTCCATCATAGGGGCATATCCAGTGACCAGCACCGTTTTCCATTCCCCTATCCCATTCACGTTCAAGTAGTCTCGAGAGTAAATTGACGCTATACTGAGTAATGTTTATTCATGTTCATCAGCTCCGTCGCCGTATTCTCCAATTCACTGTCAACTTTCACGGCGTGCCAGTTAGCAATGCAGAATCTCCTGCCCATAGCCATAATGTGAAAACACGTAAGTGGAAATTTGGTACGGCAGCAAGGTTTCATAAAGTATCATTAAAGAAGACTTAGAACAAGTGGTGTCTAGACGAAATCATCGTAAATCTTGATGCGAGGATTCCGCGAAAAGATTTGAAGGATAAATCAAGAAACTTATAGAAGCGAGAAACGAATGGCATCGATAATACAATATCGATTGGAACAGCAATAGAGCAAAGGATTCAAAAAAATTGGTTCTGTTCTTAGTAAAATTACCAAAATTTACCAATTCTTTAGAAAACTATATGAAGCCCAGTAGCTGCAAAGTTGATTGACATCACTAAAGTGGTTCTATGTATGCACACCGTTTTAATCGATTAAATACCAAGTGTAAGGATCAGGTTAGTTTTATTTTGTTCCACAGGGGCAGCCACAAATCATGGCTTAGTTTCGGACATGCGACAGGTGACGAGAAGTCGACGGAAACAGATGTCGCCTAAATTCGTTTTGGACTGTCAGGTAGAGGGAATAGAGTGTTGGGAGAAGATATCCCAAGGAGATAAGGGTTGATCGCCGGGAGCAAAGACGCGGTTTGATGAAAACAGAGGAATACTGGACTGGCCAGACTGACTTGCGTTGACTGTATAATGGGCGTAAGAAAAAAGCGACCTAAAATTCATGTTATTAAGTTTGTTTATTTGTGTTTCAATAATAAGTGCTTCGAATTCGCACACGCCTAGATTTTTTAAAGCCGTTCAGAACCATACAGCACTAATCTGCGAAGTTAACTAATCACTCTGCATGCAGTAAGCAAGATCAAGATGCTTTTGCATATTCACCTTCTTTAATCTTTTTAATAATTATTATCTTGGGCGGGATTTGCAGTCGCATTTACAGTGATAGAAATTATATATTATTATTCTAGAATTTGCATTTTTAATAACAGGAGTCGTAGAAAAGTGTGTTTTCCTAAAGCGTCGCTTCTAATTACGAGTTAAAACCATTTGCAGTGAATTTAAAATATTTTCACGTAGGAGGCAAAGTTAAGTAACTGTAATATCTATATTATTACCTCACTATTTTTTCTCTCTAACATGGAACCTTTGATCATCAGTATGCGTTGTAAATTTTTTAAAAACTATCTATACAGTATTCCAAATTTTTTCTGTTATATAGCGATGATCCGTAGACAAGAGCCAAAGACTTTAAATCGTTTGTTTGATTTCCTTCTCTCTTTGAATCACTTAGGCGGACCTCGTGGTCTCGTGTGATCGTTGTAGGTTAATATTCGTTTTGAAGCCTTCTTTGTGGATTTTGATTTTCGCAAGCTGAAATCACCAATAATTTTAGCACTCCTACCCGCCTATTCATGCGTAAAACTGGATAATGCGGAGAAGTTTGACTTAGACTGGGAAATAATGGAACCACAGGGAAAGCTGGCTGAAAATAGATTTCGTGGCTTTTATGTGGTTTGTGTTGGTATCAAATAAAAAATGGAAATGTTAACCTCAGGATTCGTTGCCTTCCCACCAATTTTCTGAAAGTGCCCTGATGTAAATTTCGTCCTGGGTGTCTTCAGTTTATGCATGGATTTCTTTGCTTTACTTAACTAATGTGTTAGTTTGATTGCATTGTCTGCATAGTACTATTGTTGTCTGACCACTTCACTTTTCAAATGATAAATCTTTCCTTTCTTACTAACACGAATACTTTTCGAGGTCATGCTGCGCTCTTCTGATGTTAGGAAGGCAATGTAGTTCAGCCATTTTACTTTTTTTAGCAGCCTAAATTTTGTGTTTCTCAAGTCTTTAACTAAACTCGTGTTTCACTTCCCTAGTATCTATTTAGGGTTTCGAAACTTCCGCTTACATTTTTTTCCAATGTCTATCTCTCTGATTCTTATTCCCTCTAAGAAGCCTTTGTAATGCTAAAAACTCCAGAATAATGTTCTGCATTATGAAGAAATCTCTCAAACGTGGTTTACTTTGGTCTTTGGCAGTCTTCTTTTTTAATTTCAGTTGGTTTGAGTCGTTGTAGGCCGAGTGATAAATCAGGCTTTATACAATTAATGCACACCATAATCGTTCAGAAACTCTAAAATATACTTTTTTTGTACTTTAATATCGCATTATTTTTGTTCATTAGCGAAGTAGCCTCATCTATCACTGGGTTCGTAAACAATTTATTAAGGGTATGCTCCACAGTCTATTCATGGGAGGTTTGATGTTTGTAAAACCATCTCATCACCGACACAACTAAACCGTTTTATGATTCTTGTAGTCGTCGATTGTCACGTTCCACACTTTTTGTCTTCGAACTAGTGAAGCATTTTAAAACATTCTTATTTCTTTTTTATCTAGTTGCCATAATCCCTGCCTTTTGCATAACTTTACCATGGACCCCACACTGGTTTGCTTAACTTCGCAAACTTTAATGGTTTAGATTGAGAATGAGGCGCGGAAAATTCAGCAAAAGTATACGGATGCCATCTCCAAATCTATCAAGGATTTGGACTTACGATTCCTGCGCAAGATGCAGGTAACCTATGACTTTTAGAGTTATTTTCCTACCTCACTTTCAGTCGGTCTACTTTGATTGCGGAAAAAAGTGCTGTGATCACGAGGACTGGGACACTGAACAAGTACAGTCTTGTATTGAGCGCTGCGAGAAACCTGTGGGCGCTGCCCAGAATTTAGTGCAAAACGAGTTGAGCCAGTTACAGGTACTTTCATTAGTCAATTCATCACTATTTGGCGGTAGCATTGTATACTGTAGAGTACTGTTGGTTTACCGTTGTTTAAAAGCAATTTTTGGATGCACTAAGCTTTGTTGCCTTGTCTTTACGCAATTCTGATGTGAAAAGTTGATGACAAAGGTTCCGATATCTGCCTACAATGCGTAGTTTTGTTTTTTTTGTCAAAAATGCTTATCCCAGTTATGTGCTGCTCAAACCCACAGAACGCTCAACTTGTTAGTTCCTGTTAGGACTGGATTGGCGTGGTCATGGGGCTCCCTAACCATTGTTAAGGAAAACGTTTTGTTCGCACTCGAACCAAGGTATTTTTGTGTTAATCCAATGGCAGATTTCAAGTAACTTCAATGAAGTGTGAAAGAACACGTGAAAGAAATTGGGAGACATTACTGGGGCACTGGTTTCAAATCTGGTGAACGGATTTAGGAAGAACTCACTTTCACAATGTCAAATCAGCAAAAAGTTAAAAAATTAGTAAATTTGCTTAAGAGGGTAAAGTACGCTAGACCGGGATTGTCCATTGTCGGACGTTTGTTAATTCACGAAGTGACTTTGCCGGTAACAAAAAGTAAACATTATTATTCGCCAGACAGGTGTTTTCTAAGTTCCTTACTTGTGACGAACGCTTTCACACTGCGGCATAGTTCAAGCTATTTAGTCCTGGCCAATGGCCGACACGCCTCATGCTGTGTATTTTTCTCTTCCAGAATCGTCTTCAAACCTGTATTCGCGAGTGTTCTCATCGTGCCTACGACAAATTCAAGGGCGACGAACAGATCACAGATTCGCAGAGAATGCTAGTGCAGAAGGAGAGCCTTGCGTGCAGTACCCAATGTGTTGACGAACAGCTCTTGAGTGCAATTCCAGCCACCATGGGACGAATTTCAACACAGCTAGAAAAACTCCGGAAGGAACAATTCGATAACTAGACTCAATCCTCGGTGTTCTATAGACTGTAGATACATTGTAAAATACACATATTTTAGTCTATTTAATAGTCTCTACTTATTGTTATGATGCTTGAATCATAATTCTGCGTAAGGTAACGGCGATAGGCGCATTTAGGTCTCAACCTCTCGTTACTTTCCATTTGTGCTAGCCGCCACCAAATAAGCCCTTATCTGACAACAAACTTTTCTGTTAGGTAAAAAGCACCTATCGGGATAGAAGGGGATGTGATTAACGTGTAGGTGACATTGAATTACGTGTTCAGGACTTGTGGGATGGGTGTTAGATGTTTATTAGACAAAACAGTGTCATTAAGGAAATAAGTAACGTGATTCTTTCTTTGGAGGTAGACTGAATTGGTGGCGAAAACTTGAAGTACTGCAGTATGAAGTGAATAGCTTCAAAGTGAAAGGATGGGAGGAAACTGAAGCAGCGTGTCCCCTTCAGGGGAGCACTACTCTTCCGGACGAAGGTCTCCAGGGGGCGTTGTGGTGAATTGGTTTCGCCGACGTCTTTTGTCGCGAAATTTCCTGCTGGTTTGATTTAAGACAAGAGGTTACCCACCACTGATGCTACCTTAGATGAGGCTATTTGAAATAATATCAATCTTTACTTGGCCTGAAACTCGTTGGCGGTGGGCCTTACCGAAGACAGCTGAATTAATTGATATCATATTAGTGCGAGAAATATAGGCAATCGCTGTCAGCCCATTTAGACATGTCTAGATTAGCGGGCCTGTCGGTCATTAAAATGCGCTATTTCTGACTTTAATGCCATACGCTAATCCACCTTTGCATTCCAAATTCCCTCCAGTGATGATCCCTCCCCAAATCCACGTCAACTCTAAAGCAACTCCGGTTCAATAAAAACGTTTGTCTACGTTGTTTAGACCTTGTGCAAAACTCTCAACGAGGATTAGCCCACCATAAGATGTCAGTACACGAATGGTCGTCGCGTCGTTAAGTCTGATGTGCCGGCGATTCGCAATGAACTGTGGTTGTTAAGATCAGCAGAGGAGACAGTGATCGACTAAGGGCCATCAACAACTGTGGTAGTAATGCATTGTAATCGAAACATGGAAATCACCAATCTTGGAATTTCTCTTCTCCATACCTTCTGGGCCTCCCATTGAGCGTAGGAAGCCTTCGCGCGTTCTTTCCGCCTGGCTTCCTCTTCGAGCTTCTTTCGCTTTTCTAGTCGCGCCTTTTGCGCTTCTTTCTGCTTCGCTTCTGCCGCCATCTGATTCTTTTGCCTCTGCCTTAAATGCAAACGTTTCCACAGACAAGTGGTTTCAGGTGTTATGTTCAATAAACACGACTGGTCCACGGAAATACTCAGAGTAGACTGTGTGTCATTGGATGGTGTCTTTTTGGGTCCATTAAAATACGTAGGCTATTTGATTTCCGTATGAAACGTTTTGGTTAATAATGTCCGGTTAGCATGCCAACTCAGGGCTCAACTCGAATTCTGGTTTGGCAGACAGGGAGGCATCTAGTGTGTGGAAGACTACCAAACATATCTGTTATCGTGACATGGCTTGGATCTCCAAATACGGTAAACAGAACTAACTACGCAACGACTTACCATGCCTCGAAGGCCGCTTTTGCTTCAGCCTCTTTCTCCGACTTCCGCTTTCTTTCCTCGTCTGTCGTTCCTCGATCGGTTCCACAAGCAGAGCTCCTCCGTTCTACTTGTTTGCTTTTTGTGGTCTTCCAAGCCTCGAAAGCCTGCAACAGAATACCATGGGTGATCATGGCGACCACAAGACACTGCCTATGGGGTAAACAAAGTTAATGTGGGAATGCTGCAAAGCCATTGGCCAAGGGGGGGGGCATGCAGCCCTTAGGAACACTGAATTCAAGTCGGCGTAGAGAGGTTTACCTGGATCGCATGCCCGTGTTTTGCGTCAGGCGTAGAAGGGTACGTCTCCTTGACCAAAAACGTCTGACTACGTCGGTATGCTGAATCTTTTCCACAGTCCTCAAGATATTACTGTCTTTCAATTTGCTGCAACTGTTTGGTAGTTGTTAATTTCGCTTCAGGAATAAAACCAGTCACTTCGAAGCTCTTGTTATTTGATTTTAAGAAAAATGGGTAAAGCTTATGTTAAAGCGGTTGAAGGTCATTTGACCATGATGTTTTTATAAACCAACGCGCTCTCAAGCAGCTGGCATGTACCCAATCCAAACAGCTGAGTTCAACGATGAATTGGTTGGTACTCGGCCCCAAAATATGCATAAGAAAGCTGTTGGGATCTGGAGGGGTTGGACTTTTGACAAAATTACCATGATACTGCAATTTCGCGTACCCTTTTTGGTCGCTGCTGATATCTTCATGACTAAACCCATGCTGTAGCACGGTCAACTTTTGATATTTGAATATACCGCGAACATATTCGATTATGGTAGACTGGTGACAGATTATGTACTGGATAGCGTGCTTTGGGTCTAGCGATAATGTCGATGAAGGCTATAGTGTTTTTGTCTATTTAATTAAGCGAATGATCAGTCATTGGATAACGTGCTGTACTAGCCTGACTTTACTGTGCGACATTCCTATATGTTCTTGAGTTGTGGAAACGATGCATTTGAAAGTGATAAAACGGCCCAAAAAGGTGTCAGGAATCGAAGTCAGTTTTTCCGCATGGGTCATAGCTTCTTCCGTTTTAAGTGGACCGGTTTAATATGTAACAAGTTCGTGCTAGCACAACGTTATTAGATTTTTCCCTTAATTTTTACATAAATTAGTGGGATTTTGAAGGGTACAAATTTGGATAAAAACCGGCTCCATTAATTACCCGGTCGGCCTTTGGCGCTTGAACATGCGAATGTCTATCTAGAACTGAGGTTTCACCACTGGCGGAGATTTGAATTAATTAAACTTAGCTGACTTCTTGATGACGAGGCACTTTTCGAAGTACTAGTGAAGGGAATGTCCATACAAATTAACCACGCGTGGCAATTATGTCTAAGTATTGTGTAGTCATCTTAGACACACAAACGCGGCTTCTAAAATGTCATTGTTTGTGCTTATAGTGTGGATCGAAAAGCTACCTTGGCTGCTTCTGCTTTGTGTTTGCGTTTGTTCTCTTCTTCCTCCTGTTTCTGCTTCGCGTCTTGCAGTTGTTGCTTTTGTTTTGCTGCCTCTTGCTCCCTTTTCTTCGCCATCCACATCGAGAAAACTCGTTGGTTTTGCCTCAATCTTTCTTCTTTCTTAAAAGGAAAAGTATTGAGACTTTAGTAAGACCATCGATGGACCAATTGATAAGACTTTATTTCTAGGATCAGTTATCAATAAGCTCCAGTCCCGATATATGGAAGCATCACTACTACACAGGTCTACAGCAGAATGGGACTTCCTGGTGGAAGATGTTGATTGCAAAGTCTTTGAATTGTCGGTAAACTCACCCTCATCAGCCTATGTAGCTTGACTAATCTTTGACACCGCAGATGATGAATGCGTGTTAAACCTGAATCACATTTTGAATCGTCAGAATCATGTGCATCATTGTTTTCCCGATGCCATTAGCTTTCGTTGTATTTCTGCGTGACCATGCTATCTACTATCACCTACATTTGGTATCTCGGTGAGTAGATGCATGACCGTGAGGTGGAGGTATTCCATGATGGTGGTGACACTTAGAGTTTTATTGTATTCAAAGCGCCGTTTTGGGAGTAAGTTAAATGACATTCCAAGTTAACGTAAGACAATTTACAGTATGAGTGCTCTTGATGTCGAACAATGCTTTTCTGATGTCTGGAAAATAATTTTTAATGTAAATGTAGTCTGGGAAGCTGGATTTTCTATTATAGTTGTTGAAAAGCGACCCATTATTTTAAATTGTTGTCAGTCCTTTTATTAACCCCCTTGTCAAAGTTTGACGTCATATTTGTGGCTGCCCTGTCAAAGTAGCTTTAGTGTTTTGTTTGACACTAATTGTCTGGCCAATGGTTCATCCCTAGCTGCAAAATGACTGTTTTACCTGTCTATTCACTTCCGCCTCCTGGGCCGCGAGTCGCTCCTTTTGCTGGCGCTTTTCTTGTGTGCATTTTTGATCCCTTTTAGCGCACCAATTGTGGTAGGTCAAGTTCCTCAAGTCCATAGAACTCTTAACCTGGACGGCCTGGCTATCGCTGCCTGCAACCTTGGTGCCTGTTCGTGAATTATTCGAGGGGGTTGGAGGAGAAGCCATTGACCTACTGGTTTGAGGTACCATTTCCGTCACCCGTTTATTCCCTCGAATGGCCCCAGACACCATCACCGATTTTGTGGAGCTTAAACCCAGAAATTAGACCATTCAGAGAGATCGCTTAAAAACTTGTCAAAGTTACTGGCAATTTGACTATTCTTTACCTCAAGGCAACCTGGTTTGAAAAAAACACGCCTAAATGCACTCTGTTACCTTATTCGCAATCTGTGGAATTTACTTCACTTCTTGATTATTGTAAACATGGAAATTACAGTCGACATAGGCTTGATGCAAGTAATTTCTTCATTGTGTAAAGTACGAGCTTAATGACGCAGTTTCGTAAAAGAAGACAAGCATTCAACAGCTACAAAATCTATTTCTGGCCAGTAATGTTGGCGACACTCCTGGTCTTGCTGAATGGAACATGCGTTGAAGAAGAGAGATAAGGCCTGGCAGTTGTTCAGCAGTGATCTCGTTTAGCTCAGTTGTACTCAGGCTCAACAAAAAAATTTGCCTACGTTCTCTGTTTGAGTTGAAATAAAAAAAATTCACCTCAAATACGTTAACTTTGTGCGCAACAATATCAGCATTGTATGAAAAATAGGAGAACTCACGGGTTTCTTGGTTGGACCGCCACAGCTGTCCCTTTATTCCCAACGGTGGAATTATCTGAAAGTTGAATTTTCTCAATTTTTAACTAGACCAAAATCAAAAAGCTTAAGAAAGCTTAGCTAAGTCTTAACCTTTTTTTTCACAGAATCACTGGGAATTTAACAATCGTAGTATCCGTGATCAAATCCGCTTAGTAAATTCAAACGTTTAAGATGACTGAGTGGTTGGTACTGGCTTATAAAGGAAGGTTTTTGAGATTTGCGTCAAAGAATTCAATGCTTTTTAAGACTTGTGGCCTACCTGAAAAAATTTGATTTCGACTGGAAAGTTCCATATTTTTTGCACCCAACACATCATTGGCATTTGCATCAAGTTCTGAACTCATAATGTTCCCAGTCAAATTTGAAGTCTGAATGTTCAATTTTTTCTCAGGTGTAGGAATTTCCTCGAAACTACAAAGAAGCATTAAATGTACTTAAAACTGAATCGGATCAAGGTTCATTTGGTTAGAGAGCAAATTAAATGCAAGAGGCAACGATTGTATTACATCACAGTATAAAAATTAAATGAAGACTATTTAAGTAACGATAATAAATCTTACATTTTGGCTTCCTGAATGTCAGTTTTATATTCTAAATAGCCCTGAAAAGAATCTTCTGGACGATAGCCAGGCGAAAATTGCAATGGTGAGATCGAAGTGTCTCTAAAAAGCTTTTGTTAACATAAATGCACAGAAAACAACTGAATTGTGTCCGGTGCTGCATTGAAAGATAGGCCATCCTCCTGGCTTATGTCGGGGCTAAATGTGCAAGTCGTCATAACTAGGTGTATTACATTATTCCTTTTGTGTCTAAGTGGACGTTAGGAAGGTCTCTCGTAAGGTTTAAATTTGTTTCACTAAGCGAATTCACCAGCAAATCCATAAATGTTTGTCTACAGGGAACTTTTCACTAAGGAGAACTTACTGTTCATTTAGACCCTTTGTGATGTCAACATCAATATGTTCTTCCACTGAATGTGCATCGTCTGCCATGCTTTTTGGTCCATCAGGTAGCTGTATGGAATTCAAACCTAAACTTCTATGATCGCATGTGTGTGCCAGGCTTGCCTATTTTTGAATCATTATCCTTTTCGAACAGCGATCCACCCAAGTAGTCAATATTTTCACTTGCATCACAACCTAAATTGCACATAATAAACTTTCTGTACCTCCGGAATCATCACCGTTAACTTTGACTTTAGTACGACGGGAGGGTCTTACATTAGTGAATAATCCAAACGGATCATTCTCAGATTGAAATAGGGAATCCAGGGTCACGCCATCCATAGAATTTTCGCCCCTTTAAGTAGTGATCAAAGACAACTAAAATGTGAATCGCGATTTATTTTTGGGGAAAATTGAACCTAAGTATTGGCTTTGATCATAATGTGTGACAGATTGTGCTATTTGAAAATCACGGGGACACTATTTCGCCTAAAATGTACTCTGTAGAAGTTTTTTATTTTTTAATTTTTGTGAACTAATTTCCCTGTAATGTTTTTTTCTGCAACATCGCTAACCGAATACTTCAATTTATGGGGTATAGGTAGATAGGCCAATTAACCATAATTTCTCCACTTACAAAGCAAAGAATACAGGAACTAGACTGATATAAAGCACTTGGTTTATTAAATCACGACAATACTAATTATTCCCGAAGTCATTTTAATGGGGTGTTAGTTAGCAAAATCATTTTAAATAGTTATATGCGATTGTATCAGATTTCAAATTATTTTAAAGCTATCAAATAAGTAGACCCATATTTAAAGACACCAATTTTAGTCTAAGTCCAATAAATGGGCCCAATATTTTATGGACAACTCGCAGTGGATCTCTAAGTTATTTTTTATTTCATTTTCACAAGTATTTCTCTTACTCCGTATATTTTATAATTGGTTGCAAATAAAGGAGCCAATGAAATGAGTGTAAATCTTATTACAATTAATAAAAACAGTCAACAACGTCAAACTGGTTGATTTTTTAATCATTCATTTAATTATTAACTCGAAAAAATTAGTTGAAAGCCACATCTAAAAGTGCCATTTATGTGATTTTTCTGGTGACCAATTAAAAATGATTAAGCGAACTACACATTAAAAAGAATTAATTGTTGATACATAGCCTGGTTTAACACATTGCATGCAATTTAATAAGATTTCCTCACTTATCAGCGCCAGAGCAAAGGCTTACGAACATCTGAATATGATAAAAACGATTTCGTCAGAATTTTTACCACACAATCTATTGTTTTCAAGTGGCACGATCGTATAATAGAAACATTAAGTTGCAGGAGCACATTAAACTATTCTATTTACTAATAAGGTAGACTGTATAGAAAGTGTAAAAAAATTGGGGAATGTCATAAAATTCTAATTTAGGCTAACAACCTTAAAAAATGAGCGTTTTAAGAATAACGTTTACAGAATCGTTAGAGTAAAAGGGTTTTAAATGAGTAGAGGTACATACGATCATTTAGAATAAATCAAACGATCCTATGAACAGTGAAAACTGGTCTGTATATTTGCAGGTGCTTTAAAATGCGCAATGTTTAATGCAATTACCACTGTTGATTTAAACACACTTGGGCACATTGGCTACAAATCAAACGATAATAAATTTAAAAAATTCCATTTATGCATTTTTACATTCATGTGATGGTACGTTAAGTCATAGATTAACATTTGTCTTCTGTTTAATTTAGAAATAACTATTTAATAACAAAATATGATTTATGAGTTTGAAATGTATTGATAATAGATTTACCAATAAGAAACAAGACCAACATTAATCCCTGTTTACTAAGACTATGAGAGGCTTTTTTATTCCGAGATATAGTTCAGGAAGAACAAAATCCAGAAGCTATGATTATTCGATTTTAGCTTCTTCATTTTTATAGAATTAAATGCGTGAAAGATAACTTGAATGCTTCCACTTCATGCATCTTTTTTGCGAAAAATTTTGATTCGAGTGTCACTTGTGTCTAAGAAGTTCTATCTGATAAATTTCCAAAAAATGAAAATAAATCATAGATTTCATAATCACACGCATGTTACATCCACCCATTCACCAACCCACACATAATTCCTTTCTTCCCATTACCTTTACCGTTCATGTAGTTGCTTCTAATAATGAACTCTTGTGAGCATACTTTACCTGATACGTATCACTGGTATTTTAGCTCAAACTCTTCATGGGCATAAGGCGGTTCAGTCACATACTTGACGGCTGCGCCAGCGTCACACTTAGTCGCCCTAATCTATAAGGGAATTTAAAATGTTACTGAGATGTAATTATATGACGGCCCAGGAATTATTTAAGACTTCGACCGAGGCCTCAATGAAGCCATGCTTCATCTTTGGAAGACATGCTTTTGAAACTGTACTAATGTCGGTTACTGTACACTTTTGATTCAAAACGTCGTTACAAATATTTTATCAAGTGCAATGATATCCTTGAGGAAGCGCCTATAAGTTTGGGTATAACACTGGATGCCCTGCTCTTACTTAATTTTGGAATACTCCTTTGCACTGTGCATATAGTATTCAGCCTCTTAAATACAATAAATGGGTAAATCTGAATAAAATCAGTGCTCAGACCTGATAAATCTGTTTGAGGACAATTTTTTGATAGATATATTGCCAGCACATTTGCATTGCAAACTGAAATTTATATTCTCAGAACGGTATAGTATACGTCGTCAATTAGTACATAGGCTCCAAGTATTTTTGTCAATTCACACTAATAAAGGTAATTTTTATGGCCCTACGGAGCCTAGTTTCCAAAACATTCACAAAACAGATATCCAAAGAACTATACTTTAATGCAAGTTAGAACTCGTGTGTTTCGTATCAGCACTAAGCACATCACCCATTTATTTGAAGTTCAGATATGGAGCCCTCTAAAGCCTTTCAACTCTTCAAGGAGACCAGTTTCTCCCGTCATATTTCCAGAGTTGATTGAACACATTCGCTCTGCCATGACCGCACAAAAGCGCGACAACTCTGTTCCTCGCTCTACCCAGAGCACACATGATTCCCAATACTCTCCTAACAGAGAACGGAAAAGCCTAGCTGACAGTGAGAAAGACAAATGATTGTTGTTGGACAAAAGCGAGTCTAAGCCTGTGTCGGCGAAACACGCCTCCCGATGGCTTTAAGGCCTAGTACATAACACTCGGTTTGAAACAATTAACCATATTTACAACATGCGCACCTGCCGGACGGTCCACCGAAAGAACGGTGATTGTAGCACACAGACCTCGTAGCGGTCCAAAAGGAAAATCGGCAGCAACGCGACACTCCACTAATCCTGTTATCACAAATGCAAACATCATTTAAAGAGCACAATACACCAATCCTACCTCAATGATATATTAATGGGCCGATAACCTGTGAAGTCAATTTTTAAATAACATACTAATGGCAAAGGAAGTGAAAAGATTTAACACGAAAAAAACTAGGCATCAAAGAAAGACCCGAGAAACAGGTATAAACGATTCAGTTTCGTTGATACGAATTGTTAGGAAAGGGACAGACTTAATTGAAAGAGGATGATAAAATGACCTGAGGATACAAAGGAGAGGACAACATATTACTAGGAGGTTTAATGATAGGTCTTAATCGTCATAATCCAACGTATAGAGTTCTGGTTTATCGTATCCGAGTTCCTCCAAGGTAGGAATCCCGAGTTCTTTCATGGTTGGCGCAACTTCGTTCATGAGCCAAGGAAAAAGGTCCGGTTTGACTTCACATTTGTGCTAAGATAAATAACCAAAGTCATAACCTTGCACTAACACACGACAAGATAACATAAAACACCGAAGGTTAACAGACATTGCACAGAATAATCAATAGAGACGAAACCTTACGCTAGGTATTAATTTTGAACAATAAAAATACTAGACAAAGCAGCAAAGGTTACATTGGATTTTGTTTGCTGAGTGTTTCTATTGACATTATCGAGAGGCCGTTCCTTGGGTGCGGCCAAAAAGGTTGAATAAAAATCAATGAAGGATAAACAGTAACTACCAAACCTAACATTAAAATTCAACGAAACTGAAGTCAGTGCGTGCATGACTGCCTTTACTGACGATAGTTGTAGGGGAAAAAAGTTGGCAATACGATGTGGTTATTACTAGTGACGTTTTGACAGCTAAAATAAATTTGTCTCAAGAAGTAATTAGGCCAAATCTACCATGACTTACACGCAGGGTCTCAATGTATCTGATGGCCAGAGCCAAGTCATTAAGACGCCGACAGGCTTTGAAGATGGCTACAACTATATCTGGTTCGGGTATAATATCTTCCAAATGCAGGTCCTGAAGATACTTTCGCATCCACCACCCATCCAAATCAGGTCGATTGAAAGCGACCATAAAGCGTTCCTTAAATTCAGCGTACGGTTCCTCAGAATTAAGATATTTGGGGTTGGTTGAAGCCATTCGGGCCGGTGGCGCGACACGAACGGATGCATAAGCTAACTGAAGGCCTAAAATAGGACGACATAAAAACCAATCAAAAGTTGCCTTTTTGAAACAATACTGCAAGTGCACTTTGGCAGATTGCAAAGTCACGAAATAAATGTACAAAATAGCAGTAAATCTGTCGCATGTAATTAAAATAAGCTGGCAAGATTCTGGTGCATACAAAAAGTTCGATAAATGTAAAGAATCGAACAAAAGACGGCTGCCAACCATAACAGAGCCTCATAACGTTTGCAACAACCCATAATAAATTTGGAGAACATGGTAGTACTGACAGTGAATATCCCCAGTTGTAGTTTAAAACTCATGGTCTTAGAATTTTACTACCCAGAGATGTAAATAATCATAAAAAATTTTATAATACGTACGCTTGACCAACGAAGTCGAAAAGCGAAGGCGGAACATCATGAAGAAAATATTTAAAAACGCGCTTCAAGGACAAATTTCATGCACACCAACACATCAGTCCAATTTATATAAAAGCCAAAGAAGTAACTTCGAATAATAACAAAGTAAACAAGTGCAGTGGTTTTTTGAAAAAACTGCACTCAAAAACCTTGTTTGTAAAATGTGTTAGGAAGCAGATTTTTCATCATGTATGAATCCGATCTGCGGGTATTTCCGAAATGATTGTGTGGCTGATCCTGAAAAGATCACAGTGTAAAAAAAACACAATTTTAAGCCTACCTGCTTAACGTAAGGAACTTATTGGTCATCAACAGGTCTTAAAATACTTTCGAAATTTCATGAATGCTTTGTCTCTGCCAGCTCTAGAATGCGTGGAACTGACTGAATCCTTTTTATAAAAGACATAAAACAGCACACCTTAACGGATATTCCTCACCTGCTGGTGGATTCAAAGAAACGGCAAAGAAATAATTACAAATGTAATTGCCTCACAGCTTGGTCTGTCAGATCAACACCGGTATCTCAGTAGAATGACGAACAGTATCGGCTGCGTAATGGATCCCAAGTGACCTGATTTAGGTTACGGCATAATATTATGGAAATATCTTAAATTTTTTACTCTTTAGAAGCTGTAAAATGACCTTGTCTAAGGCGCCCGTTAAATTTGGATATTGCAAAACAAATTCATCCGACTTCAGACAGACTGGACCGATAGGCAGACATAACTAAGTCAAAAGGCCAAAAATAACGCAGCAACTCAACTCTAGTAAGGTTTGGGGACAGTCTCGAGCACAGTAACATTCTTTTAGTTGCCATTCGTTAGAAAAAGCAGTGTTTTTTTAGAGAATGATCACGACAAATGCTTGCTGGTAAATAGCAGGCATTAAATTACTTGAAACTTTTTTATCTGTTTTAGTGGTACAAAATTTGTGGTAAAGATAAAAGGTGGATCTAATGAACTACGTGCAGAATATCACAATATCAATGAGATTAGGCTACACGATAGCTTTCCTATTCTACAAATATACATAACTTAAGGTGCATCTGATAAATCGACTCTATTCTCTACAATTCATCTGAAATCAGGCAAATGGACCCCTCCTGAAATACTCAGTAAAGTTGCTAAGTCACATATCTATGCATTCTGTCATGATTTTTTCAAGAATTTCAAAATAATTGAATAACTTAGATGAATATATCCTCTCAAATAAAAATTGCCCGTTCATTCCTATGGTCATTTTATGGCAGATTGACAAAGCACATTTACACCAGCAGAGAGATTTCGCTTAAATAGTGCAAGAGTTAGTTTCCGATTTTTATAACAAGCAGTGATGGGCTACAAAATATCCACACGAGCACGAGAGTCATATCGAATGCAGTCTTATTTCTGAACCCTCCTATTTTCCGACTTTCAATCTCTCGCATATGCACCTACCACCAATTGGGAAAGTGTTGGGAAAAACCCGATACATCGCATATTTAAACTGCATTTTATAGGGAAATCGCACTTCCAGTTTCGTTACTGACATATGGGTCCTCAAAAAACCACCTTGGATCCCCTTACCAACAGTTTATTTACTAGCAGTTAAGGTGTGCCTTTCCACCGGCGTCATATAGTCAACTCTGTTTCTTTTAAAAAGAAAGGGCCTAAAAGCAAGTATGACAAACTGATTCAAGTTGCACAGGTGAATGAAATTAATTTGGCTTGGTTGGTTTAAAACAAAGAAAGAGCATAAAAGTTATTCGATTGCGTGTAACAAGCACATTGGGCTCATGTGACTGCATCAACGGATCAGTAAAAAATGGACTCTTTTTAACATTAAAGTTGTACAATATATGGAATGTTCTTAACTGGCATTATCAAACGTTGATTTCGGTTGCTTGATTATTGTTACCCACACATGTTGTCACTTGCCTAGGCAACATGTTTTGTTTAATAATAAAAATATGACCGGACATACTGTACTGCACCTTATCTCAATAACTCCTTTAAAAGCTTTTAAAAAATCAATGCCGGGGCGCGGAATATGATTATCCAAAGGGCACTTTTCACTCCTGATGGTTTTGGCTTCGTATGTCGGTGTAAGAATGCAAAAGAAATTTTTTGAACTTTTTAGTGTTTATTTTAATTAATTTTTGTTATTCTGGTTTCAGGAATCAGGCCATATCAGTGTCCGCCCCAGGGAAGGTTATATTGTTTGGTGAGCACTCCGTGGTTTATGGATATCCTGCGATAGCGGCTTCCATCGATGCTTTAACCACATTAACGTTCCAACCTGGTGTTCAAGGGCTCGAATCTGTTGTTGCGCTTAGGGTTCGTTTTTTGAACATCACAGACGAGCCTGTATACATCACAAATTGTGACATTGCCTACCTCGACTCTGTGCGGACCATCCCTTGCTCTCCGAATTTCAAAGACCTCTTTATTTCAAAAAGCCGGCTAATATTAGATAAATTTGACTCCTCTAACCACCTTGTCTCGAGTGTTGCTGTTTTCCTACTCGCGTTGTATCTCGTGAGGTCGCAGTATTCCAGCAGCTGCACTCTTGATTTGCCGATAGACGTCTCCGTTAATTCAACTTTACCAATAGGTGCCGGTCTAGGATCTTCAGCAGCTTATTGTTCTGTTGTTGCGACATTTTGTTTTTATCTGTATGGGTGCATTGCCGATTTAGAATTGACTGAGGAGCTCCTCTTCCTCATTCAATCAGTCGCACACGAGGCGGAAAAAATAATGCATTCGTCACCGTCTGGTGTCGACACTACCATAAGCGCCCGTGGTGGATTGATCACCTTTAGAAGGGATCTCATTGCTAGTAGAGTTATTACGCAGTCTTTATCTCTGCCATTCTCTTGTGGCGAATATCCGAAGTTACTCATAATCGATACCAATGTTCCTCGATCGGCAGGTGATGCTGTTAACTCTGTTCGCCATCTTCGTGAAAATCAGCCCGTGTTGTGTAATCAAGTATTTGAAGACATAAATTTAATTTGTGGCAATGCTGAGCGTGTACTTTCGAAGCCTTTAACCCGGGAGTCTCTAGTCGCTCTGAATAATCTGTTTGTGCAGAATCATGAAGCTCTTTGTAGGCTTGGCGTGTCTAACGAAAAACTTGATGAAGTCGTAAGGCGATTAGAATCCATCGGCCTTGGTGCCAAACTTACTGGTGCCGGCAAAGGTGGGTGCGCCATCGCACTACTCTGCAGTTCGATGGATCCGGTAGGCGTGGCGCAGGACGTCCGAAACCTCCTGCATGATCTTAATGTGACCGTCCTCGCCGTTGATTTCTGTGTACCCGGCCTCAAAATTCAAATAGAAAAAATTTGACTGTATATCCCTGCTTTTACAGCAGTTATTTCTTAAGGAGTAATCAACAATGATCTGAGTAATTCAATTTTTGGTTAATAATTCCGGATATTTGTTGTAAGATTGTACTGTCTCAGTGAAAAAAATACAAGCTCGTTGAGGTGCTAATTTGAGTTCGCCGTCACATTCTGCATTCTGACAGTCCATACGGCAAAGGAGTTGGGTGGTTGCTCTGCTGGAAGTTCGAGATTGGGGGCCCCTTGAGTACCATCGATTGTGAACGTTAGTCGGGTACCTGTGCTCCCATCCAGCAGAGTGAAGATCGATCCAGGAAATGCTTTTACGGCGGGCAGAGTCAGGGTTTTATTGGTCCCTAAAGGCCAATCTGCGAACAAAGCGTAAACAGTAGATGTGTCCGATTTGCGTCTAGTATACCTGAAAAAAAAAAGATTTTCATAAAATTAATATAAAAGCCAAACCTGATTGACTACGCATCTGCTTGCTATGATTCCTTTAGACCGAAGTTCGGTTCCTTAGTGGTTGCAGAATCTGTGTTGTACGGTCAAGGTTTGATAATGGTGCAGGTGTGATCTGCCTTTCGTATATCCCGTACCGTTGTAATTAAGTCGAATATAAAGTTGATTTGAAGCTTCTAGTGTAGGAGGTAGGTGCTTTGGTTAAGAGACGAAGTCGGCGCATTCGATGTTACTTAAGATCAAATTTGGACTTCTACAAGGTTCCATAGTTATGGATGTCTACAGGTGACGGTTGGTTGCATTTCAGGGTCATGACCGTTTCGCAGGTTATGCCAATCTTGTCGATTATTTTTGGTATCAGTTCCTCGAGGTTAGTCTTACAACGGTAACCTTACCTGTAATTCTAACTAAGCCGTTTTAACAGTAGTATAACGACTAAGATCAACAGTAGTTTTAAACCACGCTTTACGATTCCAGTCGTTGTGAAATGTCTATCCGAATGTTTTGACCTCACGCAGCATCGAAAAGCTACTCTCACTAACCCCAGCTGTTTTTCGTGTGAAGAACTTCGTTTGATACTTAATTACTTACCACAGCTTTTTTCTTAATGGATCCCTTTGTGCTGTCCAGACGTCGGTATTGTAAATAGCCTCGCCGTTTATCCTGAGCCAAAGTCCCATGCTTAGGAGCCGCTCTTCAAAAATCGGGTCAATTGTACCCCAGGCAGTGGGGCCGATGTTCAGCAGCAGATTCCCACCCAAGGAGACCACATCCACTAGGGTTTCGATTAAAGTCTGCAAGCAAACAAGGGAAATCCGATTTTAGTCTTAGTAATTTCAAAAAACTTAGGGCGCCTGCTCTGAATATCTTCGAAGTGTGCTGGGCTCGAGTTAGTTCAACACGTGCAACAGCGGTCTTCTATTTCTCCTCTGGGTACTTAGCGTTTGGTCAGGCCGCGACTGCCTTGTTAATGTTGTAATCTTCTTGTCGGTGAGTCCCACATTGGGACATTCAACGTAGCATTTGCAGTCAAATGTTTTGGAAGAATTCTTCTATCCTGATTTGGTCACGAGGTGCTGCTGCTGCCGCTTTTGACCTACTAGTTGCCCAATACCTCGTTTTCTATCGGACTCCTCCCATACCCCCTAACCTTTTCAGCATTTCAATTTTAAAAACTTAAAAATGGATTGTTAGCAATTAAAATCTATTAATCTAAATTCCTTGTCAGTGTAACAAGACTGATTTCTGACGCATACGCGGCAAAAATTGTGCAAATAGTTTGGACGACGCTTGGGGGATTCAAGAGTGAAAACGCCTCACTTTTCTTGTGGGCCGTCATGCAATGGTTCGAATCACTAATTCTGTAATTCCGTGACGTCCAATTTTACTTACTGTAACTAACTGTCGCATAGACATATTACAGTTCCTTTGAGAATTAAGCAAATTAATAAATTCCTGCAAAAGAAATTAGATACCAAAGGGAAATTAACAAAAATTATCTGGCTTGACCCTTACTTTAAAATCGGATTTTTGCTCTAATTTAGTCAGGAAGCATGCTATGGTCGGTTATCTTGAAGTCTGATTTTTGACTCACCTGGACGGAAATGTGGTCGGCGAGATTGGCGTCTCTCCGGTACCCCCACGAGTGCTTATCAATGGTTGTGCAGCATTCCCACTTGCGCGGCACCACTTTGTCCGGACGGAACCCGTCATTGCAATTCAAGAAGTCGCCGTGGGCGCAAGCAGCGTCCAGGCCCCATCGATCGTTCACGACGACCTCATCGCGAACTGGCGACTCGTTGTACAACCAGGCTAGGAACTCCTTGGCCTTCCAGTAGTCGCTAGTAGCCTGATCAGCACCGTCGGACCACACAATACTGGGCTTATACTTATTCACTAGGTCGTATAACTCCGGCATTGTCTTGGTATTCACAAAGTCCTGTATGAATACATGTGATGCGACGTAAAAGTATAACTGCCCACTGTTAACTTTATACTCAGCGTTCACAGGTCATTACTACCTTCGAGTCATGGTTCGGGTAGCAAATCTACCCTGTACTCTGTAGCAATATTGCGTCATTAACAAACTTAATGACATTAAACAACCACACGAGTTCCTCTAAATGGTCTCTAGGCATCTAAGTTGTTATAGTGGGTTGTCTACATAATGTGCCATACACCGTTGTCACTGTCATGTTTGCAAAACGATAAAGTGATTTCCTGTGAAGATCTTAGATATCCTTGTTGGGTAATGCTCCTACTTAACTGTAACAAAATCACCATTACCCAGGACATTCACCTGCTTAAGATCGTATATCCATGATCGCATGACTGATAGGTTGTCAGTTTATGAAAAAGCTGAGGCTATGTATATTTTGATTAAGCTGTTTATTACCTGGAGCCAAAATGTAAAATATATCTTTCTGTAGATGATTACATGTTGATGAGCAATTCGCTTATGTAAATACGGGAAAGTAAAGTCCCCACTAAGAAATTCATATTCACTCCGAAGATCTGGCCTGGTTTTAGGATTGTCTTATGTTGTGAATTCACTTAAATGAGGTCAGAAATATACAAGCAACAAAAAGCCTTAGGGAAATTTCGACCGCTTGCCTGTCTTTTATAGCCTAAAGATTTGTCTGCCACATAGAGTGGATTGAACCACTCAAAAAGTGAGTGATAAACTCCAAACCGGAGGGTGGTATTAGCCCTGATAACCTTGGCCAATTCACCAATCAGATCAATATTGGGGCCCACTTCGACAGAATTCCAATTCCAGGAGGTTGAGGAGGGCCAATTGCAGTAGCCCTCGTGATGCTTAGCCGTCACAACGACGTAACCTGCGCCAGAAGCGTTAAGAACTCGAGCCCAGTGCGCTGGATCGAAGAACTCATTTCGAAATTGGGACGCAAAATCCGGATAGGCAAAACCATCTTGGTAGTACTTTTTCATGTAGAGCCAAACTCGGGGGTCAGGCAAAGGACCCTTCCAGATCCACCAAAACCACTCGTTTCTGTATGGACACAAAATCATCGGTTAATTATCTTTAGGACACTTGGGTACTATTTGTACACCAGCCTACAAATCTAGTTTAAATAGTCAGCGGACAAATTGGACAAAATAAGCAGAGGCCTGCCTCTGCATTTGACTCAGCGTAAAGGTAAAAAAACACCATCCAAATCAGATAAAGCAGAGAGAACATGCTTAGTCTTCATAAGACTTACAATTCATCAACTTTAGCGTAAAGTGTCTCCATTCAATTTTTAAATTGATGAATTAAAGAATCAGATTTGCTAGTATTGACTGAAAGAAGCGCAATCATGCTTTCATAAAAGTTTACACGAGTGGACCAATCGGGCTCTTCATTAGGGGTCAGCTTACGTTTAATCCGATTCCCCAAAAAGAAGACCAAGTTAATTTGAAACGAAGACAAGCTGCTAGCTCTTAAGAGCCAGCCCTTTACTACAACCAGGAAGTATTGTTCTTTGCGATAACCTGCCCTTCAGAGATGTTTAGCTTCCCAAATTTATGTGAAGATCCCATTTGGAACATTCGTGTTAGACTTAATAAATGATTGCCAGTAACAAAATGCACTTTTTTCGGTTACAGGTCGAATAAATTCACATCTGGCAAAACTTTTGACCGTAATATAAATTATTACCTAAAACAAGACGCCAGTTTGAGTGAGTCGTGGGAGTCTGGATGCGGACTTGATACCGGCTTACAATCCAACCGCATTTTGAAATGGAACACGCTAACACCAAACACAACAGCCAACATAAAACTCAGGCTTGTCGGTGATAGAGGCTGCACCACTGCTGTTTAACAAGCAGTTGTTTATATTATTCAGTAGGCTGTGCTCTACGGTAAGATTAATGGGTGCAAAATTGGAGCTATTGTCTACATCAGCCCATACATCACAACAGGAAATAAAAGCGCAGACCCTATAGAGTGGTTGAAAGCCGTTTCAACCATGCACCTAGCCGATAAGGCACAGAGTTTTTAAGTTAGACATGTGGACGGGATTCCATATGCCCGGGATGCTAAGCAATAAACAATTTTCGATTTCATTCGTGTCTGTGAAAATACTGCAATGTGTAGTGCGGTATTGAGTGAGGTAAATTGGCAACTGACTTACACGTAACTTGGGACCGAAAAGACTCCCCAGTGGATGAATATTCCGACCTTCGCGTTGTCGTACCATTCGGGCAGTGGGCGTTTATCCAGAGACTCCCAATTCGGGGCATAAGTAACCCTGCTTGATGTGGTGTCACCCAACGGGAAAGCTACTAGCCCCATTACTAGGAGCCATTTTTGCATCGTATTGAATTCACAGCCCCCTACTGATCCAGTGAGCGCGGCCGATCATGTAAACACAACCTCCGGTGTGTTTACCTATTCAACCACATCAAAATTACCAGCCAGTGAGAGTCGTCCAATTTAAGGAGTCTGCAAGGATGGGTTAATGCTATTTGTTGGATACATTATTCTACGTTCCTCGTCGGGTATTGAATTCATTCCAGAGATTTCCGTAACACTCGTTTTCTTTTAGCAAAAACGGTTATCTAAATACGTTCGAGACGCACATCTGCTTCACATGACTTTAAGCACCTTTCACCTTCTTCATCGGTGGATAAAGGGACTTGAGATTGCATCCTGCTACAGTGCGTGCACGGCTCTCGAGCAAGGAGAATGTGGGGCAGGAGGTGAGCGGCCGCATTAGCTTCCAAGTAACAACAAGAAGTATACAAAGTATGCAAGAATGGCAGAACGGGCTTGTCTGTTGTCAAGAAACCCACCAGGAACCACGCAATATTTAGGCTAGACAGCGCCACAGTGCAAGTATTGTGCAGCTCAGCCAAAGCAGTTGCGGAAGACTACATTTAAGCAAGAATCTGTGCCGACGCCGTAGCTCACCCTGCACTTGAACTGAGCACGAGGACTGCCAAATGCAGCTTCTACCAGCATAACGTCTAGTCAGAATTCAGGCTGATACCGTTAGATTCTTACAGATATGTAAATAATTAAGGAGGCTAGAACAGTAAATTGTTGGGGCGTGCTACTGAATACCCACTTGATACCCTCCAACTAGTCGAAGATGAGAATTTAGCACTTTAATAAAAATGCGAATAAATGACTGAACAGATTGAACCCGTTTCGACAAAGAGGACAGTTCCTCTCACACGTCATAATTTATTCCTGCCAAAAAAGACTAGATTAATAACTACGCTAAGTAATCTCCGTCATTGACGTTGCTTTATTAAACGAAATCAACATATCTCAAGCTTAAGCAGTGCTGAGCAAAAAAAACCATATACAAAGTTATCAATCTTCGATTATTTATAAAACAAAATCAAAAAAGATTATGATATGGTTGGGAGTAATCGTGCGGTTGCGAAAGTATCACAATGCTAGTAACAACGTTCGGAGGACCACAGAAGCAATTCGACTGCTGAGGCGAATTGCTTGTTCTCAATGGTTGCGAGAACCTTGCGGGATAGGCCGTTGCTCAGGTCGCCGGAATCGGCAGCAAGACGGTGAGCAGCATTCACGACGGTCGAGCGCACCATGCTTCCGAGGAGGGCAGCACTCAGCACCAGACCGGTAGTCAGGGGGCCGACCTGATGCTCGATGTGGTGCTGTTGAATGAGCCCGATTCGGAAGAGACCGTTGTTCGTCAACGGGTGGATGAGAATAACGAGGCCACAGCCGAATTGCGATGCCAAAGCGGCTTGCAGCGGGTTCGGCTCACCGGACGGAGGCATCCACAGAGCGTCGTCCCATGCCTCAAGCCAAAGAACGCCTGCTCGGAAGTCATCGGTGGATTCTAACAAACAAAACGCTAGCTGTCACCTAGAATCGGCGTTTGTGTTTATTTTAAAACTTCACGAAACCACGAAAACGGAATAAGAATGCAAAGAGAGATTATTGTCAGTGGCGTGCAAACTTCCAGTTAGGCAGCAAAGCCAATCATGGACGTAGTATCAGAAAAAAACCGGACGTGATTACTAAAAGAGAGGCCGCAACAACAACGACTCCTGACACAAACTAAAATAATGCCAATAAACTCAGACAAATTCGTTTGATTGCTAAAAGTTCTTCAAGAAAAACAGCCTAGTTAAAATGGTGACCGAAATTAACTAAACACGCATTGCGGATGACTGACCTCTACCACAGACGCGACAGTGTAGACCTTAAATAGCTGATAAACAACCTGACGAATTCAGTCGAGGTAGGCCGGCGATAGGTCAACATACCAACAAATACTACCTCAAGTGGAGGCGCTCCAATAATTGTACTTTATGCTACCGAGGGAGACACAAGTAAATCAGCGTAGACAAGCACGATAACTGGTAATAACTGCTAGCGAGGGGAATTTAGCAGAGGTAGAACCACAAATGCGCATGAGAAGGTAACCTATTTTCAAGGTCTGATCTGCGTTGGCGGACCGTGCTAACTGCCCATCACATTCAGTGCTCGGAGATTACATTACGCGCCATCTAGAACAAAAACCTCTAAGGATTCACCAGATTAGGTCTGCGCAACCAGACAATTTGGGTTTGATTAGACCTCACTATAGTAGTATTTGTACACACAAAGCTGATATTTCGAGGCGTAGCGTGCATTCGTGGGCCTTAGAAATACGATGTCATCTTCTAGCGTGAATCAGGCGGTTTGCTTGGCTCAACTGAGACAAGACGCCAAACGAGAAGTGGAAAAAGGAGAGGCGGCAAAACATTCTGCGCGCGTTAATTAACCAATACATATACAAAAATGACTGCTAAGAACACTGTCATTTTGTAAGATAGGAGTAGAATTTAGATAAGAGAAATGATAGCGCAATCATTGCCAAATCAAACTTAGGACAGACTAAAAACCCCTGAAAATCAGTTAATAGTCCCAGTTATTTTACCTTTACGTCAGCTTAATTAGCTTAACACACTGCACAGCTGAAACGTTGTTCGTTCACATGAAACGTGTACAGATTGCAATATATTTTTTATTATTATTCAGTACATGAAATGAGAAGACTCGGGTTAGTTACCAACATAAAGCATTCCGGGCTGAGAAAAAGGCACACAACTTTTGATTGACATAAAAAGATGTTTGGAAAACGTGGTTGGCATTAGCTAAGGTAACGTTCATTATTTTACAAGTGACAATTGTGGCTCAGATATTTTTGAGTTTGGATTAAAAAAAAACATTTTTTTGGGTGATTGGCAAACATCGTGCCTGGTTTGAAACCAAACTAAACACAACAAACTTTCATTATAACGAGCAGCTAGTAATCCGAGGGAATTCATACGTTACGAATTGACTTCCTCCATACAGTCAAGAATTTTGCCATCTATAGTATTTTGCAGAGAACGAAAGTGATGAAAATGAGAAGCAACAAGATCAGGGGATTTCCCACTTTGACGTGTGTGTTAAGCGACATGTGATCCAATTCTGTCATGGTTAAGGGTGCTTTTCCGACTGATTAAGTGTGCAAGCTATGCTTGGATTTCAACAGCGGGTCGGATGATTTTGCCCACGGCACTTCCACACAGGCATCAAAGAAATCTCTTCTGCAACCCGACCAATTCAGCCTTTGACACCGAATCTGCTACAGATTTACCATATTTATGTTGAGGTTATACACAAGCTGTTTTTAAAAACTTGTCGGGTTTTTAATCAAAAAAGATTTGTCTTTTCACAGGCTGGAAAAGCATGGTTAGAGTTGTTCCGTTTTCACATATGTTGAGTTTCGAATTTCAACTAAATCACCTTCATTCACGATCACTCACGAAACCACGGATGGTCATCACTAATGCCGAAGTTCATTATTCGGATTGAAGTCCCCATTTTGAAATCAAGTAAGCCCCTTTTACTTGTCGGAAAAACAGAATCACGACCCAAATAAACGTCCCAACTGCTTCCTTGCTGCAGTTTCAACACTCACAATACATAACGTGGCGAAAATGTTGCATTCTATATTTCATTTCGAGTTTTAGCTCTGCATACAATTAGTTAAAATGCACATTTTTGAGGGTTATGCTGACTCACGGCGCATTTAGGAAACTGACAGTTAAGGAAGAGTAATATCAGCATAGTCAAAGGTATGTGCTTCCATCATCTATGAAAGCCGGCCACGAATTGTTGCAACTACCCAATGGTTTCCCTTACTAAAATTCAGCTAATGTTTGACCAGATCCGACAACTCGACACGGAATACACCCAAAGACGAAAGTACCTCCAACGAATTCGCGTGAATAGTGATGTAAATAAATGCAGATCAAACAATTTCCAAGTGATTTACTTTCAGCAACTTTGGTACGCCAGGACGGACACAAGCTGACGACCTCCGTTGAAGCATCAGCCCAGTAGAACAGGCTGTCAATGCCGTCGGGTGGGTTCCGACGCCAGTCGACGGATGCACCTGAGGGGGTGGACCCGTGGTATCCGGATTCCGCTGGGTGGGGAGCATTCAAGTTCCCACGCGAGCGTTTCACAGAACCCTTCCATCCAGGGTGGCGAGTACAATCCACGACCCAACCAAGGGAACACATAAAAGACTGAAAGACCTTCGGTGTGCTGGACCAAGAGTTCTAGATAGGGAATAAAAGAATTCTAGGGTCAAATAAACAGCCTAAATGTTTGAGATATCGAAGTGTGTTTTCAGAGCTGAACAGCAGGGCCTCGAAGTTGGTAAGGGTGTTAATGACCACGTTGCCAACTTCCTGCCACGAAATTTTGATGGTAGGGATTAACCAGCATGTACGCATGCCTAAGAGAGACTCACCATGTTGGCGATGACATCATTCAGGGACGTTTGGCCCTCAGTTACGTAAAAAACGAAGAGTGTACTGGTTGAACGCGGATTGGTGAAAAGGGAGGAGTCGATTTTAGTGGCCATGCTCGGAGGAAGGGGTATCAGCGAGGAGGGTATGATGGATGAGATCTCCACGTTACTGCCTACCCCCTTCGTGCCAGGAATCCTCGCGGAGGGTCGTCGGGGTTTAGAGTTGCTCAACGGAACATCGATGGTTTGTTGTTGTTGCTGCTGCTGTAGTTGCGACGAACTATTTGTGGCCCTGAAGGAGCTGCTAGACGCACTCAAGTTGTTCACGGGAATGTAGCCCAAATTGGATGCCAGAATGTGACCGGAGGGGAAATTCTTCATCATTCTGCAATGATTACCAAAGAAGGCGAATATTCACTTCGTGTTTGTTGATCACTGTTCTAGCACTTGGCTATGTAAACTAATTATACACATGCAAGCTGATTACAAACACGCAGATCCCTGTCAACATTAAGAACACAACAGTATTTTATTTAAGGAAAATTACAATAGAATAAAGATGGCTAGTCTTACCTAGTTAGGAAAGTTACCAAACAATAACAGGAGAATGGCTAAGCAAAGTGTGTCGAAGCTTAGAATTCTGTGTTAGTGGAACGACAACCGCGTGTCAATTTTTTTTGCTACCGGCCTCGATTAGCTCACAGCAAATGAGGTCTAATTCGGCAAGACCGGTAACTTGTCAGCAAAGCCGCTGTTTTTTTAGCCAAAAAAAAAACAATAAGGATTCAGTACCGGTCTCCTCGTAGCTGAGTTTCTAGATATTTTGCGTGGGAGTAACCCATATTTATTTTAACTCACAAAGGTCACTGATTGGATGGATATTTATGCCTTTTAGCGTAGCTAAGGTGTCAATAACAAAGGCGGTGATTGTTTAAAATGGGTTCAAGAAAAACGGAGTACGAGGAGCGCAAACACTGACCGTTCAGGTCGACAGGTCACGCCACGACATGCCTTGAGTCTGGTCTCGCGTACCCTCTGGCCCAATTCCTCGCACTTCTGAGCCTCCGAGGCAATCAGCGACTTGAGAGCATCCACCTCCTTGCGCGCTGAACTACCAACCACGACTTGGGCCAAGGTTGGCATTACCTTTTCCCTAAAACAAAATACCACAAGAGAGGCTAACTAAGGAAATCTACGCACCGCAAACCTACATCAGAGGGAGACAATTTCAGGTAACATGATAATGACCTTTGCGATTTCCGAAGACTAGTACTTGGTCTGGAGTGATTTTTGACCGTTAAATTGAAAGTAGCTTTGTGTAACAATGAAAAGGAAGCCGCAGAACAAAGTTCGCGTCAACCTGTGCCAGGGAATGCGACCTATATTGCACGAGGCATTCTAGGTAGTGGATAAAATTTAATCTACGTGAACTCTCGCATTAAAAAAGGACATGAAATTCCGATCAGACTTCAATAATCAGAATGCCATGGGGTAGAAAGGTAAGCGTCAGATCAAGAAAACCCAACTCAAATAATCAACTTGAGACTTAAGTTAAGAAAGACACAAGAACTGGGATAAGGACAAGGACTGGAATGCATTCATGACCATACAACTTACGACTTCACGAGCGGAATCTTTTCCCTCGTCTTGGGCAAGAAAAGACTCTCTGATCCGACCGGCCGCTTAGTAGACACGATATTCTCCAGGCAGCTCCGTAGCGGCCGTATGGTTTTGCTTCGTAGTGTTGTCTGAGCCGAGGTCTCATTGCTCCCTCGTGCCACCTTTTTGGGCTCGTACCGCAGCTTCCAGGACCAGAGATGCCGTCCCGAATCGTCGCGGAGGAAAGTAAGAACTGGCGAAGGGTCGGCGACGCGTCGACAGCCGTCTTGATGGTCGCTTTCATTGCCCGAAGACGGCACCGACTCGGAGACGCTAAGAACGAGGTCGGATGGAGTGAGGAAATGACGGAAGTTGGAAGCGCAGGAGACCTTAGCGAGGTGGTCTTCCGTGAGGTGAGAGGAGAGAGTCTCAGGACCACTGGCTTGGGGAAACGTGCCCACAGAGGAGAAAAGTGTAGAGAGTAGGTGCTCTGCGGCCTCGCTCACGCGTTTCGAAAAAGGCATTGCCGAGGGAAGGGGAAGGCTGCTGCGCGATTCGCTCGTCTAATGAGGATGCAAAAAATGAAGGTTTGCAAATGAGGTGCATCCCTAAGTTTACGCTTAGCAATCCAAGCAAAAACACCATGAAAATAAATTTAAACTCGATTTTAATGAGCTTTGGCACGCACGACAAAGGCAACCCCACGTAGTTAATCTTCATAGGACTCCAAGCTATTAGTAGAGCAGGCTCGGATGGTTCACTGAAAACAAAGGCCATTAGAGGCCAATAAACTTAGGTTGTCAAGTAGTCAAGGCCCGGAATCAATGGTACTGCTTTATATAACATACAGTGCGCATAATGTAGCGTATCGGTCACAATGTCCGAAGGGATATGACGTCGCAAACCATGGGTTAGGACAAGCGTAAAAAGCAGTGTCTCGGAAAGTCACACGAATGCATGCACCAATGGCTCAAGGTGATAGTAAAAACCAGGGTTCGTGGTATAACGAAATACGCATTGTTAATTTTGTGTACAAAAATTACGGCATGCCTGGGTTGTAACTTTTGTAGTAAAAAATAGTGGCTTTGGTTGGTGGGTAAACTTGGTTCCAGAAAGAAACACTGCGTTTTACGTCATCGCACATTCGGCAGTGGGGGGAGAAAAAAAGCAGCGAAAGGAGAAGAAAAACACAGCTTCAGGGATCATCGACGGATTGCAAAATGGTGTTTCAATGGAACTGGCAGCGACTGGAGCCAAGGTATTACTTTGGCGTATTTTAACAAAGACTCAAGGATGTGGCCAGCTTAAAATATGAATTAGAGTTTCACCAGTCGGTCAACTCGGCTCGCTTACATGGCTTTTAAACCTTAAAACTATGTTAATTACAATCAGAAGTTGGATTTACTCCGCCACAGACGAAGTTCACAGTTATCGAGGTACCTCCGGATGCAATGGACGGCTACGTACCTGTGAGGCAGACGTGGAGGTGGCCTCGGCGCCGAAGATGCCCAGCTTGATGGTCTCGACCACAGCGCGCAGCGTCTCGTACTCCATCAGGGCGGGTGGGTGGGCGACGAGCCACACACTCAGACACTGGAAGGCATTGATAATGAGGCTGTGGAGTGCCCTGGTGTGGTCCTTCTTCTCGCGTTTGCACTGACTTTCAATGAAGGCACAAATGCTCTGAATACACCGCCGACCTGCAAACCAAACAATGGCGCACTAAACACTCCTTTTCTTGCAAATAAGTACTTGGTGAAGTACGCACGACACAAGCTGTGATTTATCGGGCGAAATACACTTTACCACCCACGAAAATTTGCGCGCGCTGTCAGAGGAATTGGCTGTTTCTTCCTACACTAGGCGACGACGGCAGTAGCACCACTGGGAATTAAATATTCATCATTGAAGCAGTGAAAACTCGCGCGGAAAAGGAAAAACTAACTCCAAGATGGGGATGGTCACGTGTTTCACACGAGGAGAACTTCCCTTAAAGATGGACTTTGCGACTGTTGATAGTTATCCAATTGGGGAATACTTGACTGTTGCCTTCAGTGGCAGACGCAAGGAATGAGCCCTTGAAGTGAATAAGCACCTGTCCCAATAAGCATAATTTCCAAATTTTGAAACAATGTGAAGTTAATTTTTATACATTCTTAACTCTAATTTGGACAAGCAACGCAGTAACGTAATCGGTGACGACCTGGTACATTAAGAACAACAGCGGTTTATGTGCAATAGGCCACTGAGGTAGTCTCTGAGAAAGAGGACACCATTAAGGAACGAGTAGATCGGGGCATAAGATTTTGAACTGTTTAATGATAATATTTTTTTGGGATTAAAATGGCATTTGTAGAAAAATCAAATATTAGCACCTTACAGGGCCTCGATGTCAGCACCCAAATCATGAACAACCTGGATAGCAGTGGCAATTCGGCCGCCCGCAGTGTGACACGCACTTACAGTGGGCAATGCTGGGCTTCGGCACGGGAGCATTGGCCAGTCCGATGAGAACATCGAGTGCGAACAGCGACAGAGGGAAGTCGTTCATCCACCGCCTCCACGACATGGAAATTTTATCCAACAGCGCGCCGTAGAGACCGGAAGCCGTCTCTGAGAATTGCATTCAACACAAAGAACCACTTGGTGACGAGCAAAAGGAACAGAGAGGCAGCCCTGAGGCTGGTGGTGAACGGGACCGATTCAAAATAAGTCACGAATGTGAGTGGTAGTTTTTACAAAAAAAGCCAACATAAATGCATCCCTATAGTGTCAATACGAGAGCAGTGCCACCAAACAAAGAGTGAAGTCGACACTCCACGAATCGTTCAACACCTAAAACAGTCTAAAGGAATGGCGCTAGGATGGTTCGTTGGGACAAACAAAGTGTCCATGTGTTAGTGCAGGAGTTACTTCAAAATTACCCAAGCTTGAGGCAGCATCAGCAGTGCTAGAGAGGGATTTTTGATAAGTTCCCTTTGAAGGAGAGGACTCCACAGAAATCATATCCAAGACGAGAGCGAAGCCTCCACCTGAAACATGAAGAAAGCGAGGTCGTGAGGCTGGGCATCCCAGTGCGTTTAAGACACGCACCCCAAAAGCGTTTGGATTAAATAAATATGGAGGCGTTAAAGTTGAGATTACGATCGTCAGGAGCGACAAATCAAAAAGGGGCGTCAAAAATTTTAATTGGGCTCTATTCCTAGCTCTGACTGACTTGCCTTAGTGGTGCTACAAGACCTCAAAGATGATAACCGACAAAAATACAAGGTTTTTTCGTGAAATCATAGAGTACTGTTAGGCTGATAGAGCATCTTGCTCTTTCGATATGTCAGTACAAAACTTAATTAAGGGATAATGAATGGACATTTATTTATGATTTGAAGGTCTGAGGTTGCCTTAAAGCGTGGTAGCGGCAAAGTTCGACTGTTTTTCGAAGGGGATGGGCTCAAGAAACAAAGAACAGCAATCAACCAATTAGTTTTACTGGTTGAAATAGCGGACGTCTTCATGTGACACAGAAAGAGTTACCAGTTGTTGATTAATCTTCATATGTGCATACACGGCGTGTATGCACGGGCGTTTTAGAAATCACTTTGACAGTTATTTGGAATAGACAGCGATTGCTGGATGTCCTAGCATTAAAAAAAGACTCACTAAGAATCATGCGTAGATTGTGCGTATCGGTTTCGTAGGTAAGGAGATCACAGAGCAGGCCGGCAAGCTTCGTTCGCAGAGCACGCGCAGAGAGCGCGCCGGCGTCAGAGGTAGTGGGGGAAGAAATATCTGCGGAATTTAAGAGGACATTTGAGGTATTTTCACAGTAGTTTGTGGTTTTGAAAGAACCGGAAACAAGGTTTCAGGAAACCGCACGAAAAGTCTACGCGAGTTACACAGCCTCAGAGAACAATAGAGCTTAAGATGGCAACTGATAAACAGCACATCCGATAACACCGCATTTTATGCGAATTCCACCAAGGACAAAGCGCTTCTGAAGCACGATAATTAATTTGCAGTGTTCTTGTTGCCGAAGTTGTGACCAGCCGCGCCTCGGGCAGCAGCCTCGAAAGTTTGAAGATGCGCAATTGCATGGTCTACTGGATAGAGACTCAACGCAAACTCAACAATAGCTTGTAGCTCAGTCACCCAAACAGCTATTTTTAAGCGTTTGCACCAAATGGGGAAAATTCAAAGACTTGGAAGTTAAGTGCCCCACATGTGTTGACCGAACACAACCCAGGTCAACGAATAAACACTTGCCTTTCACTGCTCGCGAACCGGCAAAGAAAGAGGAATTAATGTGGAAAATTGTGCCTGGTGATGGAAAGTGCATTTTACGAGGATCTCAAACGTGAAAAGCTGTCCTAGATAGATTCTGGGTAACCCAATTCACCCACGCCGAAACATGACATCCACTTGAAGCAGGTTGTAATGTGTATCTGGTGGAACACGAAGGGTGTACAATATCATGAACCCCTGCCAACTGGTCATCAGACGGTGACTGCGGAACGCTACAGCCGGCATTTGAGCCAAGAGAGGAAAGAACTTGATCAGAGGAGGCTGTTAACTGGGCAAGGAAGCAGCCAGATCGTACCGTTGCTGCTTGACAACGCTTGACCACCTCACGTTGCCCACGCTACCCGAGAAGACCCACTTGAACTTGTGGTGGGAAGGTCTGCCACACACGGCATGTTCAATACACTTGGCCCACCTTCCGACTACCATTTACTGAGCTCAACGCAGCAAGCCTTATTGGACGAACAGTAAATTCGACGATGAGTTTATTGCCTCTAGGCCTGCCATTTTCATTCGCGATGGGATTCGTAAGTTACCTGAGAGATGGGGCAAGTTCATAGAAAACGATGGACAATGTTTCCGAGATTAAGTTCGCTATTTTCCATTTGTTAATAAAAAGTTTGCTAAAAAAATCCGTAAAAAGGAAGTATGCTGTAAATGAATGACCGACAGTGGAACACAACTAACGGCTGCTGCCACTTGTACATTTATGAAAACATACATGTTAAGATTCGGTATTTTCGAATACAAAAGGGAATAAGCCCATCTGGATTAATCTTACCTGCACTGAAGTGATTAGTCAGAACTAGAAAGCAATTCTACCCCGCCAATTTATGCAAAAACGACTCGAAGAAACTGTGATTTATAAATGGAGCAAAATCACTTTGCAGGCATTCGGGCAGCTGCCAAAAAAAACAATTTCCTTCTGCATTGTAAATGTTCCAGACAGTTTACTAAAATTTTGAATGACAAATGAACTAATTTACGCAAATTTCAACCGAGGTTATGTTCACGAGTCAATGTTTGCATTATCACGACTTCCCTTCAGTCAGGTGAAATTCTTGCAAATGGACGGTACTGTGGCACCAAGCTGAATTAAAATTTTGATTCGCATTGGCTAGTCATATTAAAAGAATAATACCCAGGTGCAGTACAATAGCCTTACTCAGGACCCATGCGATTCAGTTGTCGAACCACAAAGAATGATCCAACTAATAGGATTTGGCCACAGAACAACAACCAACGACAAGGGACTAGACACCAGGTTCCTGTAATAACCTACGGGTTCTCAGACGGCTAGACGTGTGCATCAAAGGGAGGGCCAAAGAGACACAGGACTCACCTCGAAATTGGATGCCGTCAAATTGACTTGGGAGACAAACCATCGAAAGAAGCTGATGTAGACAGGCCCTTCGAAGGAGAACCATTGAGACGTAGTCAGGGCAACTAAACGAGAGAGAGAGAGAGAGAGAGAGAGGGAGACAAAGTAGGCACTTCCCCAAACAGACTTTCACGCGGTCGAGGTGCACTCGAAATGCCTTCGCAACGGTGGGATTTTCAGTTAGGGGCTCAGGCTTGCTCGTGATGGCAGTGTCTTCTATGGGTGAACCATTTGAATGTGCCTCGATCAAACTTAGTAGAAAGTGCCGTGAGCGAAATTCAAGATTTAGGGCAAGTGGATATAACCAATGAGTCACCTTCCCCATGGAAAAGTACATGGTAACTAGGTAAAGGTGTGTCGTTCACATTAACCGACAGTAAAGCACGTTTCAAACACACGATTTACAGAGGGGCATCTAAAAACTCCCACTATGGGAAATCAGAGGCCGAGCAGCTGCCGATTCGACTCGATTTTGTGCACTCTAAACGCATAAGCCGACTGATGAAGTAAGTCCTGCTCACCGAGGAAATGCTCGAAGGAGGCACTAAGCTCCAAAGCACAGTCGTTGTCGGCAGACGCTCAGGTCCTGATTCACAATACCAAGCAATTCGGAGTAGCAAATGAGTCTTGTATATCACCAATACTATGTGGCCTAACCGCTTTGTGAAGAAATGATGTCAAAACTAAACTACAATAATAAAAGACTAGCCCATGCTGAGGCAGAAACATAACACACAACTGATAACAAGGTTGCCTAAGTCTTACTTAGCAAAAAGGATTCTTGTGTGGCCGAAAAACAAAGCCTAAGGAATAGGCGGTGGGAAAAGAGGATACAGAGCCAAGTGGCGCTTTGGGGAGAGGTGTTAAAGCGGATTACCGGGGTATTTTACACTTGGTACGCTTACACGACAGAGTTTTTACGCAGGACCCACTGACAGGCGTTGAAGATGGTCGGAACGAGAACAGACGACGCCTCGAGATTGGCTCTCAGGAGGTCGGGCGCATGGAGTAGGACTGTTGAGAGGACGTACTCCACTTCCTGCGGGGGGAAATGACATGAGTGAGCATCAATCCGACTACTGGTAGGTACGCCCTAGAATATCTGCCCATTGGTTAACTGGTTACCGTGGTAACGACAGGCAAGTGGGCTCGTGCGCCTACACACGAACATAGGCGCGGCGTAATAAGATCCCGCAAAACCAAAGGTGCCATTTTTGCGGGTTAAACTTCCACATAGAAGAGACAACCACGGCTGGGAACAGTTGGCCGATGGGTCCGCGCTGCGATTCAATCCGGTGAAAAGGAAGATGATAATAATTATTAAATGTTAGGTTGACATTAAGACGAGAAATGGCTAGGAGTAATTGCCACAGCTGGATTTTGTACTTTCTTAAAAAAAGCCTGATTCGTCTGAGGACGCAAATAAGCTGTGTAAATAAAATTATGTTGAGGGCCCCGGCATGTTGTCTTGAACCACGCCGGGGCCACTGCGATTGTCTGGGCCGAATACGTTACCCAGTGTTCCCGCGAAAATAAAGAAGACCGGAGTGGGGAAGGCACAACCGTTTACTAGACCGCTCAACCAAGTTGTGTCGTGTACTTTTACAGTTGAGTGGACATGTAAAAATGAACACAGGCGTTTGTGAGGTCACATGACCAAAGCGGGAGGTGGTGGTACATTCAGAGGGGTAATGAACCAGCGGTCTCACGTGAAAGGGGGAACGTGTGTTGAAAGCTACGAGAACAGGGTTATTGGAAGTGAATCAACACGATTCACTACAATTACATGAAAAAAAGTTGTCTAAAGGCATCGAATTCGACAGCATAAAACAGTGTGCACTTAGATCTGTAGAAGAGATACCACAAACCTTCATGGAAACGTCGACAGTGCCACCCCAATGGTGTTGTTCACTTGAAAACCGAAATTTGAGATATGGCTGGTAAGAATAGGGGCTAAGCGATTATATTTCAGCGATTGCACACCAAATTTAAAAAAAAACAGGGCATATGCGCACGAGGACGCGGTCGTCGTCGTTGTCGTACGCACTCAAACGAACATACCGGTTCGACGGTGAGCGCACGAACGAGGCAGGCGTAGAATCGCGCGAGTAGAATGAGCGCGATTTGCGTGCGCCGGGCGTAGATGAAGATGCGACAGAGGCAGGCCACGGCCTCAGCGCGTCCCACGTGGAAACTGAAGTTGTCCACCGTCGATGCGCGCTCCCTGCTCACCGCACCTGAAACACAAAGCCACGTGACGCGGGTAGTGAGGATGGAGAAAAAGCAGGTATGAGGTAATTAGAAAGGGGAGGCACGGCTTGGAGTCGGTAGCCTTGCGAGCCAAAGCAAGTCACGAGCATGTAGGTGGCTCTGCCACGACGACTAGAACGACTCACAGCGTAGTGTTCTTGAGGGGTTGAACTGCTGGGCACATTGGAAAACCGCGGGAATAGCAATTACCTTCTTTAACGGACGCAGCCGCATTGTCGGTGGCCTTGGCAAGCGAGGTGCCATTGACAGCGGCCTCAAAGAGCCACGGCCCGAGGAGCTGGAGAAGGGAGGCCGCCTCGGGGCGGTTGTAGAAGGCGGTGACGAAGGCGTCGGGTCGAAGCCACTCCTCGACCAGTGTCTGGGGATTCACGAGAGCCGACGAATGGCCCACAGTGCGCACCATGCTGCCCGACGAGTTGACCGCGCTGGCTGGTGGTGGTGCACTCTCAGGAGGTTCAGAAGCGGCGCTGGAGGCTCCAAGGGCCTCGCAACCGGCGTTCTGCTTATCTGGAACATAAGAAATCGCCAGAAAAAAATCACTGGGCCAAACGAAAAAGAAATGTAGAGGGGATGTTTAAAAATTGTTTAACGGGGAATGTAGCACCTAATCAGAGGTCCAGAGGTAAGAGACGACACGTGAAAATTTAATTCAATGATTAGATAGAGCCATGTGCAAAAGACAAGCGTTGGAATTCAAATCGATTATTGTGAATCGTGTTTATTCAACCCCTTAATCCGGTCGCTCCACCTCCTACACAGGGTTCCCCCTGTCGCAGCGTGTCGCCAGCCACGCGGACCCTCAACTTCCCCCTCATTAACACGGATATTTATCTTGGATTATCCTCACACCTAGGTCTCGGTGTTAGCGCATGTATGACTCACACATCCGAGATAACAAATACACACACAAACCCCTCACACGACACAACGACATCAACGGGGCTGAACTCTGAAGTAAACAGTTGTGTCCACGTCCTCTCCGATCTTTTTCTTCATCGCGGGTATCAGGCAAGTGTAATCGGGCCAGGGTTAATTCTGTGGCCCCGGTGTGGTTCAAGATCACATGCTGGGGCCAAGTTCCTTCACCTATCCAGGCCAATATTGCATAGTCGGTGGCAAGTTGAACTTTTTCTGGATCCACAAACCCACATTCGAGGGCAATTGGTGCACCAATGGACTGTCCAGAGGTAAGAGACGGCACGTGAAACGTTAATTCAATGATCAGATAGAAGAGCAATGTGCAAAAGACAAGCGTTGGAATTCAAATCGATTATTGGGCCAAAGTGGAAGACGACAGCTGATTGGCAGACACATAATCAGAGCCCCAAATGGTCGACTGACGAAATAAGTTAAACACAGAGAAAAGGACACGCGGACAGTCGCTCTGCTTTCGTTGTTGTCGTCGTCAGCGAAGGTCACAGTAACCGACGACCGATTTGGGTATGATGCCTTAAAAAACGACGCTGCGCTATGTTTCTTGTGCTGAACATCTACCAAGATAACTTTTCGGTAAAATTCCTTTGTTTAAGGCCACACAACTACGTTCTAAGCGTGATTATACACTAGGCCAACGGTCAATTTCAATTTCACGCCATCACACCATTCAATCAAAGCCTGCGGACCAAATGTAATTGCAGCATTGTTTTGCTGTGAAATGCTGAGGCGACATGAGTCGTGGTTGTAAAACTAGAACACGCGAACCTACCCACAAATATTGTGTCCGGTGCGCGAACGGAGGTGTACTTGAAGTACTCTGTTATGTCGATGGGACCGTAGAGGTTTGGAGGTATACCGACGAAAGTAAACAAGCAGCCACTTAGAGAAGGGGCAATCCCAATGAATAAGTCGACAATTGTTGAGATACTGCGCAAAGCTTGATGAAATATGGCGGGTAAGAAGGACGCGGTTAGTCGACAACGAGCGACTCCGTTTAAGCGACTAGAAGAGAAGCAGGTTATTCTAATACTACTGAATTTATGTGAGAGGCAATATTATATGCGACAAATTACCGGAAGTATTCGAAAGTGGCCGTGTGGGTGATCAGAGAAGGATGGCACAAATCGGTGGGATTGCCAAAGAGATGGAGGAACCGGAACCAGGAGGCATTTGCAACGTCCCGGGGGAGATCCACCATGAGGTGCCGATTTATTAATGGCTGGTAAGCTGCAAGAGACAGATAGCGTCACGTAGGCCTGATTCAGGTCATTGCAGAGACAAAGTGGGTTAAACTTACCCGTGAATTGGGGGAGGTTGAGCCTGTGGAGTGAGCCTTCCCGGGGCGCTTGCTTCACAGGACGCAGAAGGCAGTCGGCGATGTGGGGGCGCAGGAGGTTGTACGTGAAGATGACCACCACACGCGACCACACGTAGCCCAGACCGACACGGTGGCGGGCGATGAGGCAGAGCTCGGCCAGGCCTTGCCAGTACCCCGGCGAGGGGTAGTGGAGGCTTAGCGCGCGCATCCACACGCGCATGAGCATCCCGATCACAAGGCACTCCAGCTGCAACAACCCACGCACGCCCGGGTCCTAGGAAAACACACGACAGTGCGTTGTGCAAGCGGCGATAAAGTAATCCTTGTGCCGAATGAAAATAGGGCTTCTGAGTTATAACGATGGTGGGGCAACTCAAGATGTTTCCATCCCATTTACCAGTTGCTGTGATTTTAATAATATATGTGTACTGAAATATATAAGTAGCTGTAGTTTATTAAAAACAAAACCGATGCAAAGGGACCATCAGTGGTGGAACCAAGTACCTGGGAGAAAGGCCGGGAGGCAGTGATGACATCGTAGCCAACCGGTGGAGGCAGAGATAAGACGGCGTGACAAGTGGCCAGAGCGAATTGCAACAGACTGTCCCAGAACGTGGTAGTCAGGAGGTGTGACGAGTAGAGGATTTGCTCGACTCGGCTGACAACAAGCGACGCCAGGGGGAGGTACTTTGTTTGCAGCCAGCGCTCGTCGTCGAGAGCTTGCGGTGCCTGCAGAGAAGCAGTTGGCTGTGGAACTGATGCAGATGCGCCTTAAATGAGGGATGGAGATAGAGGGAGGCCTTTACTTCGCAAGAATAACGTGGTGCTCGACCAACCCGAGACACAGCCACCACTCAAATAACCAAAAACGTGCTAACTTTCATCGAACAAGGGTCAAACTACCTGGTAGTTGAAAACAAAAAAATAAGAGTAAACGGCTGAAAACCGAGATAGACATGAACAGTTGATTTAACTTTGACCGTTAGGACTAACGCTTGCGCTATGGCAAAATGTGGCGAGCGAGGTGGTTGTCACGAGGCATCTGGATACAAATGCCTGTTCTGAACCCCCCCCCCCCCCC